CTGCCCCGATCATGTTATGTTGGAGCTCAAAGCAGAGCTAGAGAGGCGTTTTAAAATGTCTGCAAAATTTAAAGAAGTAAACAATGCGAGCAAATTGTATGGTGCAACTGAAATTGAAAATTTGATTTAAGTTATAACAATTTTGCTTTTGGTATTTTATCTAACTTTAATGTACACTTTGTCAATGTGGGTCATCACTCAATTTCTGAGCTTGAAATAAAAGATACCACAGAGTCTTATACATCTGTTTCATATTTGGATATCTTACTAAAAAAACGTTTGTAATTGTAACACCAAAGCTTATTGATAAACTTGATAAAAGTGATGACTGATGACTTTAACTTTTCAATCCTCAACTTCTCTTACTTATGCATACGGAGTTTATATATTTCAGTTGATTCGATGCGCAAGAGCATGCTCTACGTACAAACAATTTCTGAATCGAGATAAGTTATTGACGAACACGTTTATGAAACAAGATTACCAGCAGTCTTGTTTAAGTCATCATTACGTAAGTTCCATGATCGATACAACGATCTTGTCAGCAAATACAATTTATCATGAAGTCAAATGCTGACTGACGTTTTTCATACTAATTGTTATTCCATTATTTATACACTGAATTGACGATGGATTTTTTCGTTATTTCCCAGTCATGACAAGGAGCACACGGCGGAATGCTCACTCCTCCATGGACCTTTCCTCTGATGTTTGATAGATCCGTGTTTGCTCTGCTCCAAAAAAAATGTATTGTTTAATGGACTTTTGGGCTTGAATATCTATATATTTCATTGTGAATGAGGAATTCGTTATTTTATTTTAGTTCATCTTAAAATAAATAATATAAAGTCCTTTATCTCCACAATTCATCTAAACTCTGTTTGGAGTATGCCACCGAGATTTATACTTTATGCTTAAATGATTCCAATTGTACTCTATAGACATTTTTCTGAGGTTCTAATTACCCATTATGCAGAATATCACTGGCTTATTAAGCATTATAATTAACTTCTTTCATTAAAAAAATGTGGACAGTTTTTAGATTTTCAACAAAATGCAACTTTTGAGATCATACTTCAAAGCCAAGGGTAGTCATATGAATTTCGAGGCATTATTAGGCAATGTGTATTTCAGATAATTGTTCAAATTCTTACTCAATCTGGTAGGGTGGGGCAACATCAGGGGATCAAAGTTATGTGCTGGAATAATAATATATAGGGAAACTCTTGAAAAGCAGTAATGAAATTCATAGGTCATTATCCTCATAAAGTGTTCATTTAAGTTTGTTCAAAGGAAGGATCAACAGGTCGCTCAGTTATACTCAAAAATATCACCCACGGGAGTTTGATGGGGTCCAATTGGCAATCAAAGTTTTATACAGAAATGTATTTTTTTTTTTTTTTTAAAAAGTCTTCTTCCTATAAACAGCAATTCGATGATAAATCAATTTTAAGCGAAATTATCCTCAAGTTGTGTAGATTGAAGTTTGTTGGATAGGGTAGGCCCATAACATTGTTTTATATAAACATATCTAGGAAAAGGAATTTTCTAAACAGAAGGGCCATATATAAAGCAAGTGAGCATTTAAAACATTTTGTCCTGATATTACCTCCTAAATGCCAATTGTAACGTCATGAATTAACCCCTTCCATGGCAAAAATTTTAAGCATTTCTAGACAAATTGATATTAAGATATTTAATGCATTTTTTCAGGTATTTCTTGTAATTTTTGTATATACCAATGCATATATATTCTGAAAGCAGGTATTGCATAGTTTCCGAAAATGATTATAAAAATATAATTTCAGTTGGCATGGCAACGAAATACACAAAAATCATGCTGGAATTTCCATTTATTCAGGAATGAGTTTCATTTTGATTTTTCTGCTCAGTTAAATATATTTAAAAATATTTTATTGTTGTGTTGAAAATTATGAGCATGTTGAAAAATTTTTTGTACTTTTTCAAAACTTGTAGATGTCAATAATTTTCAGAGGATGTTTTATTACATTGGAAATCAAATGGTACTTGAACCATTGTTTTTTTTCACTCTCTATGATGAGCTCAAATGTTTCATGCGATTATGTATTGCCAGTTTACTTAAACTAAAGGTTTTGATAAAAGTATTTTATGTCCTTTATTGTTAGAACCAAAGTCAAAGATGATAAAAAGTACTTAGATTGGCTTATTGTGTCTTTAATATGTCTATCGGTTTTGACATTTTAAGATATATAATAAGATCATGAGTTGACGAAAGTGCATGTTCTTTATAGATACAGTTTTTATATTTTTCATTTGAAACGTGATATTCGGAAAAGTGTCCAAACCTAACCTTGATGCAACCAACAGACAAATTATATCAAAAGGTCATATTTTTCTGAAAGTATTGTAAGAACAATTAACACTTACAGGGACGGATTATTTTTTTCTCATTAATGGCACTAAAAGGATAGCTTTTCTAGATAACAAACAGTATTCAAACTCAAAAAGTTCATTAAAACAATACAAATTGGGAGCAAATACAGATCTCTAAAAGCATCAGGGCATCTCTGTCGACTGGTCAAAGTAAGAAGCTGCTTCCACTCAGAGCATACTCTTTCATATCGAATCAATTTGGAGCTAGACTTTAACTCCATATGCAGGTGAGGAGAGTTCAGTGCTGCATAAATAAAGGAAGCTGACAATATGAATGTTTAGGTCTTCACTTTTATCAGATTTGGTTAGATTACTATAATATCGTCTTTTTTCAAATAATATAGCCAAAACTAGAAACCGAAAGTCAGACTCTGGGGTCCCTTATTAAGGTACACTTGGATGTATTAAGTCGTCATATAAATAAAAGTAATGTACGAGTTTTTAAAAATGAATTTAGCTTCATATGAATATCAAATTAGTTACTTTTTATAAAGCATCTAAGATACATGTGCAGGTTGATACGGTCAATGCTAGATTAAATTATGAACAATAACATAACACAGATACTCTCAATAAAAAAAAAGATTATACTTAAATTTCAGTACAAAGCCACTATTTTTACCTAAAATTTTTCCCATACAAAATCTTTCTGTAAATAGGTATTTTCAACTAAAACTCAGTCTACTAGCATAATTAATTGACAGTGGATAAAATTTTGACCACGGATAATATGATCATACGTTTCATTACACATGCTATCTAAAGAACATGTGCATCACTCTATGTGTGCTAAATTTCATTCTGATTTGAATTGTGGTTTTGTAAACATAGAGATAGTTCGCGAACTTTTTGATCTTCATTCGTATATAGCTTAATACGAAGCTGAACTAAATTTTAACAGGATTCCTTAGGGATATCAATACCTATCAATTCTTAATGCTTTAGATATGTCAAAGGATACATATTTTAAAGTTTTGTCATTTACGTCTTTAACAAGATTGGATGTAATAATTCTATAGATTTTCAGAACCCGGTAGTAGTTGATTTCCCTGCCTGAAATCCTGACTGGGGCTTATATATCATTGTAAAAAAAATACCATTGTGCAGGTGCTTTACAATAATTATTTCTAATAATTTGCAAAGAAAAACATATGTTACTGATACTAATATTTAATTTTGGACATCATCTGCATTTCCTTTACGTCTTTAATCAGGTGTAGCTTGAGCAAATTTCCAAGAATTAGGAATGGTTTCAAGCTAAGCGATTTAACAAGTAATTTAGTAAGTAGCTTATGGGATATTTTGCAATATGTTTTAAATTTATAATCATTTGCTGATGGTCTATATATACACTAATATCTTATAATTTGTCTAATAATTCGTTATCTGTAATTTTAATTTCTTCCATATGATATAATGGTTCGTCTGAACCCTAAGGTAGTAAATCTGGTCGACAATAAATGCAGGAAATGTTAAAGGCATATTGTTCAAAGCATTTGCATCGTCAAGAGAATGAACTAACGTCTGTCCAGTCATACATAATGAATCATAATTGTATTTTCTACCACTTACTAGGTAGCCTTGTTAAATTAATGTGTACTGTTAATTTTTTATCATTATTCCTCTATATAATTCTTTTCTCATCTATACCTTGATTACCTAGCCATCTACGTTTCACAGTTCCTTACATGAAGATATCTATACTCCAAACTCATAAAGCATTCTTGGGTTATATTCCTTTTTCTATTTTACTGAAAATACATACTTTTGGTAATTACATGAGAGCAAGTGATCACATTCCTGATTATTATTAGAATATAAATGAAATATAGAAGTATTAAGTCGTCATATATAAGGCCTATAAAATTGAATTGTTTTATGCCTTCGTTTTAAAAGTGTTTTATAAAACTGCTGTAAGATTAATCAGATTCAGTACAAAAACTGGCACAATAATCGGTGTCAAAGATATAAGATAAAATACCACAAGATAGGCTGCATTTGTTACCTTATAATCACAATTATAAAGTTTATAGAATTTGAAAAATTCTGACATTAATAAGACTGTTAAAATCCTTGTAACATCAATTTATTTGTCATTATTCTGCCTCAGTTTAATTTTACCCAATGTATACTCTTGCGTTTCGAATCAGCTGAGGACATTTCATTTGTCAGAAGTTTACTTGTTAGTTGACCTCATACATATGAAAACTATCAATGCCCTAAATTCGTTACGTTTTTTACGTGACATACTCTTGCTCAAAGTCAACGAAGCAAACTGTTGAAAGTTCAATATTTGCTGTAAGCCAGAAACAAAACAATTGTTGTTTTCCAGCTTGCCTGAGACATTCAAATGCCGTCAGAATTGTTGTAGTTGGCAAAAGATCTTTTAAAGAAGTTCGATCAAGTTTTGAATTCTGAATAACAATAGCAAGTAACAATTGCGGTTAAAAATGTTGCAGATGATTAGGAAGTGAAAACCCTCTCTTTTATTTAAAAAATTCCATTAAAAGTAACTGTTATTAATCAAACAACACGCAAGTTAAAGTTCTAAGTATAATTATTTATTGTTAATTTATTTATGTTTCTGTCGATAAAATTTAAAAAAATCAATGCAATTATCATTTTCCACCAGTTGAAGGTTGATCGAGGAAAGCTCTGACACTTTCCATTGTGTCGTAGTCTTCGTCACAAGCATTTTGACGAGGAGCACCGGAAGTTTTTATGGAAGTTTTCAGCATGTCGTACATTGAATCATTCGATGACGCTAGAACATCAGGTAATCCGCTGACTCTTACTTTGTTTCTTGATACTTTTTTGGAAGACTCGCGACTTTTGCGAACAGCAGCTTTCACTACTGGTGACGACGCGGAAACCTTGACCTTGGCGTGTGTTCTGTCCTGTGAAGTTCCTTGTCGACTTTTAATTTTCAAACTTTTAACTTTACTGGGTTTAGCACTTTCTTTCCATATTTTTTCGTACGATTTGTCCGAACTTGTCTCAGTTTTACGGAAAAACGAAACGTTTTTCTTGCAGGACTTTCGTGAAACAGATTTGTTTCGATCTTGTGCATTTGCACCTTCAAAAGACACAGGTTTTTCTAATACATGATAGATATTGTTTATAACGTCAGGTTTCTTCGACTCATTGTTTAAATTACTGGAAACATTTTCTACAGTCACTTGTTTTTCCAATTCATGATATAAATTTGTATCTATTCCTTCAACTTGATCATACAGGTCACCTGCATTATTTTCACTTTTCTTAAATTTAAAAGATGGCTGAAGTTCAGTGGAATCAGCTTTTTCCAAAACAAAATACTGTGCATCTTGTCCAACATTTCTCTTGCTCATCGATACGCTATTTGATTTAATCGGAAATATTTCCTCGTCAATTTCCTCTGTGATGTCTGTATACTCATTTTCCATTTCGTTGTCTTCATCGCTCACCGGTGTTTCTTCTTTTGCATTGGATTCTGTATTTACATAATTTCTTTGAGGAAGTGATAATCGAGGTCTATCAACCATTGCGTCGGGATTCATTTCTTGCTCTGGTATAGTGAAATACAGATCTTCTCCTGCTGTCGTTTTATCACCTGTCCTGTTCTGAAGGACAACTCTGAAATCTGTATAGTTGTTTTGTGTACTCTCTGGGATGTTTGTTGTTTTCCGCCGTTTGATTTTCCTGAAAACAATAGAAACAATGAAAATAGGAGTAGCAGAAATTTTATATTTAATAATATATTTTAATGTCATTTGTTATTTGTTTTATAATGAATCTGTTTATTTTTAACATTTGTGATTCGAGTCATTCTCATTTCAATTATCTCGATTACAGAAGGTTACATATGTCCAGATTCTTAATTTAAACATACAAAAATTGTAATAATTTAATTTGAAACCTGTAGTCTAAAATAACCCTTGTAGGACATCCTTTAAAACTGCAGTAGTTTTATTTGTAATTTATAACTATGTTCATAGCTTTATCTTCATTGAATTTTTATGATTTGAAATAAATATTATCAATTTTTTATTAAAAAAGATACAGAAGAGATTTTTAAGTCAATTCATCTGGTATGGTAAATAGGGATTTAAGAAGATAAAATGAAACTCCCTATGAAGAAAAAAATATATATAAAATCCTTTTCCAAGAACACTGACCAAAGATGACTTTGAATCTGAGCATTTATCTGATTATTTTCCAATAACGGCCCTAAGACGTTCATTGCACTTCTTGAACCTTACTGAGTGAAGATTTCCTGGCAAAATAATCGACCATTAGTGCGATATACTCCTGCCTCCGTTTCGGAAATAAGCAGTAATTACTGTGTTTTAATTGAATATTTCCACTAATGATATTCAGTGAAAAAATATTTTAAAAGTGAAGCTACATGTATCTGCAGAATTTCGTTAGTCCGTTATATCATATCATCTGTGGTTTTTCCATAAGATTTAGGCTTTCTTCTCGGAAGATATGAATAAGTAACCCATTGACATTTATGTTCAACTGAGTATCAAGTTAGAGAATTACTAAATACACCCTAGAATATTTCATTATTTCTTTAAAGAATATCTACTAAAATTTCATACTTGTTTTTGTCAAAAAAGAATTAAGTGATTTTTATCACTTTCACCATGACCCTTCGGTCTCTTGCTGTGACCCCATCCTAGCCAAATAAATTGAAATGACTGAGGATAGTGCCAAAAAATATATTAAAAAAAAAACAGTATTAAAGCTCAACAGTTAATTTAAACATTTCAAATCAGAAGCATTGCAAACAAGAACCTCTAAACCATCAGAGATGGGATCAGTTGTCTTGGAGGAGTGAAGATCCCCGGCCAACCATTCACACCCTCAGTGTGCTCCTTCTCATGATTGGAAAATAGGGGGAAATCCGTACACAATGCAGTGTGTAAACAATGTCTAACCATTAGTATGAAATACGTCAGTTAGCATTTGACTTAATGATAGATTGTGTTTGATGATATGGTCATTGTATCGACCACATAACTTGCTAGATGATGACTTTAAGCGAGACTGTTGGTATTATTGTTTCAATTTGTTTCCAATAACTTTAGTCGTTTAAAAAACGTTTAGCATGCTCTTGGGATCAAGTCAACTGGAAGCCTCCGTATGCAGGTGGTAAACTTATTAAAGTGACCATGTTTATCATAAAAAAATTAAAGAATTAGTATAATCCTGATGTTCTTGACAAGAAGAAATGTTCTTAAGATACTATTTGCTCCCATTTTTTGCGGTCATATATATATGTAAAATCATGTTTAACGTCGAAATCATTCATATACTGAGATGTTACAGCTTTAATTTTTTTCTGCAAAATAAAAAAATATCTATGTGTAAGGGTCTTTGGAAATTTCACAGTTCATGTTTCGCTAATAATAATCGTGGCAGTGAATTTATGTTTCAAGAAAACACATGGAGTTCAGAGATGTAACAAAGAACTAATATTATTTTTTTTTTATTTTTTAAAAATTCACATACAGGAATATACATAAGTTGTATAACTATGTAAAATTTGTAAGTCAAAGACCAATAATGTTATCACTCAGTCATTGCTTTAAAGAAATTAATTTTAGCTTAATATGAAGGAATCCATGATTGGGGAGTAAATCAATGCATCAGAATTATTAGTACATGTATTTCTCTACAGTTCAACGATCCTTCTGTTTTTGGTTGAGAGGAAAATGTGTATGTTAGTGAAACTTTACATAGTTCATAAACAATGTAAATGGTATCTCTTGCAACACTTAAATACTGAAGCAGAATTCAAGATAAAAGTAAAACTTGCAATAAAGTGCATTATATACCTCTCCAAATGGTTTCAAAAGCGACATTTACTTACAAAATTGCCCAGACGATGGTGCACACAACCACCAAAAGGAAAACGGCGACAAGCCCACCAAGCACGAGGTACCATTTCAAGTTGTCTGTAAAATCTATTAGAAGGATATATTTAAACGATTGATGGATATTTAACCTTTCACTGTGGACAAGATTCATTGTACATACATCTAGAGTGGACAAAAGTCATTTTTTAGTTGGAATGTATGTATTTGTAAAAATAAAATCAACATCAAATGCAAGATCAAAACACATGACTTCATTTTTAACTGTTTGTTTCGCATATATAACTGACATTTCATATAGAGAAACAGCTTGATCTTGAGAAAACGATAATATCTCGATCGAAATACATAAGAAGTCGTATTATAACAAGAAAATATAACAAGAAAATACCTTGAGCCAATACTAGTATCTTAATACATGAACGTCGTGCAAACGAAAACATATTTTCCACCTAAAGAGTGAAACAAATTGCTTATCCTCAATAATACTTTAATGTGCAATTCACTTAGCTTGTCTTGTAACTCAGTCGACTTTTTTTTTTTGATTAGGGTTAACATGATAATGTGTTGTATTTGGTGAAGCCTTGAACAAATCTATCTGAAATATGTTTGGGAAGGTTTCAAATAAATGATAATGATAAAGTTAAAAACTAAAAGAAAATACCTGTCCCCGAATTAAAGATATTGTTAGCTTCAGTGGAACCGTTTTCAGGTTTAGCTGTAGAAGATAACATCTTCGGCTGTACCATAGGCGTCACTGACGTCAAGGCTGCAGGGGTTACGTCATTACGGTCACTGAACTCGCATAACACTCGTAATGAGTCATCGCAGGAACGAATTTCCGTTGTCAATTTTCCGTCGGCATTTAGTTTTCCCCCAACACAATTGGTGATGGAAATGTTTGGTATATCTAAAACATAATTGTTTTTCATGCATGTTTAAATGATTATTCATATTATAAGTTTGTTTGTCATACTTCTCTGGCACGAAGTATCGCCCTACCCATCTCTTCTCTTTGTTTTCAAGTATTACTTTTAGCTCAGCTCAACGATGTTGATAGGGGCTTAAAGCTGAACACGATTTGTTTCCGCCATTTTTGTTCGGATTCTCGCTATATCTGAGGTCCCCTATATATAGGGATTGATTTCGACACTGTTCTGTGTAATCAGTCGACCCGGTGTACACGGACGCAGCTATGCAAATATAACTGTAATACTTTGTCTAATGCAAGAAAGTAAGATACCAAAGAAACTTACAATTATATTTGTACAGGTCAGTGCAGTATATAAACAAACACATACACACGTGACTGCAATATAATGTAAACAAAGGTAATGCAAGATACTGGTAACCAGCACGAACACGGGTCCATTTCCATGCAACTATGAGCTCTACAAGAGCTACATTTTCTAGGAATGGACATTGCCAGACTTGCTTTTGATGCTCGACGAACCTACATTTTCCACACGAGTGATCAGATTACAATTTTTGGAGCAGGTCCATTTCCGAGGAACCATGAACGCTATCTGGACCCATCTTTCATGGATGATGCATCTATGGATGAACACTATCCAACCTTCTTCAAATATTTGATCTGACCTATATTTTCTAAATGAGTAAATTCTAACCGTAATTGTACCAAATTAGCAAGAATGATGTTTCAATTGATGGACACTTCCAGACTTAATTTGAATCTGCCTAAGAAGAATATCAGGGTAATGTTTATGGAACCGGAATAGCTCTATTATTTTATGACCAGTTAGGATTAAAATTTCATGAGTGATGCATCTAAATCTTAAAAAGACACTTCCAGACTTGCTTTAGATGTTGGAACTGATCGACATTTTCTTGATAGTGAACAGGTACAATGTAAAAGCTATTGATCTTTGGAAGCACATAATTAGACCCCTCGACCTTTTATTGCAGTATAGTCAAAATAGTCCAAGTGAGGTAAAGAGGTAATGTTTATTTTTTTTGTTTTGAAATAACCCTTTTTCTCAAGAAACAGAATTTTCAGATTTGACAATTTTCATTTTTTGGCCCATCTTTCATAAACGATACTACGTGCCTGGGTTTAAATATACAAGTATTGCAAGAATACATGTATTAACATTTCTATATTTGTTTTAATTTTTTTCTAATTTATGTATCAACACCTTTGAGAAACAACGTCATATTTACATAAAAAATTTGGATGATAACCTATCCGAGAATCGATATTTTAAATTGTTTTGTTATTCTTCACATTTTTTTTTCTTTAAGATACGATAGCCTATATGATAATTAACAATGTTTACTGAATTTAATATCAATATCATCAAAACATCTTCACCTAAGCCAAACACCATCTTGTGTCTTCTGAATAACCCCACCCAGTATTTGTCGTCTGCCATTGGTGACGCCAGTGATTGTTTAGGAATAAGAAAGGTAGGAAATTCCAGCAGACCCTGGGCGGTTTGGTAGCTTCTCAGCACCGCGTCTTGCCATGACTCTACGGGTAATGTGTAGACAAACAGATGATGACTCCGGGGAAAGTTTAAAGCTGCAGGTAACAACCAATAAGTCATAAGTATATGTAGCACTGCGCGGAAGTATAAATAAAAAATTGAAAACCTCAGACATAAATGAATGAACTTCATAAAACTCGTCCCACACTTTTTAAAAAAAATTTACTTTTTTCTTTTACGTTAATTCAAAGATATACAGAATTTATGAGTAAATAAAGAAAAAATGTAACTGTATAATCGGGTAATAAGCTTGCAAATAATCACAGCCTATGGATGCCTCTGATGAAATCAGTTGTAAACATTGGCGCTAACCAATCACAAAATTGGTCCTTTTTAAATTAACCCAAAAAAAACGTAGAAAATAAAATTCCGAACAAGTAATATGCTTACCTGTTCGATACGTGTATCCTAACTCTGAATTATCACATGGTAAAACAACTGGTTGCCCAAACCAGAAATACTGGGCACCGGTAGTGTTATATTCGCCATTATAACCAGAGGCTAGACACTCCCCCAGTCCCTGGTACTGTGAAGAAACTGTTATAAAAAGATAATTATCTTAATACTGAGTATTCAAAATCTCAGTTTCATGTTATACAACATTGTTTTACATTTGTTTATCAACAAAGTTTTGTATGTCTAATCAAGCGATAGTTTTCGAAATAAGTCTTTGATTCCTCATTTTATTTCTAGTGATGACTTCTCTGATTTGATACTCTTGATTTCTGCTCTCTTGCATAGAATATTTTTTAAAAAAACAAATGTATTGGTACAAACACATTAATTAAATAAAAAAACTCAATATTACCAAACCAGAAGTTATACCAATGGATAAAAGAATATTTTACCTATTTGATAGACAACAACATTATAGTCGACGCCACAAAAATCGTTCTGAGATCCGGAACACTTCTGAGGTACACACTTTGTGATTTGAGATAAAGAGAAATTTCCTCCGTAGCAGTAGCAGCTATTAGACTAAAATAAACCATGACAAGTGAAAATGATAGACTAAATACGGAATGTAAGCACACGAAAACTTAAATCTTTAAATATCGTAAAAATTTCACTATTTCTCATACAGATGCATTTTGATGATAATATTTTTTATATTCATTGTTTGATATTACAACTGGACAGGCCCGTAAAACACTGGGGGTCATGGTCATTTTTTGTTCGAATAGTCTTATAGTTTGTATTGTTTTAATTTGTAAATTTTCATTAAGATGCTGGTTGTTCCCATTTTTATTGCTTTAAGGTCAAACATTTAGTATTTCAAGAATTTTAAAAAGAATGGTAGAAAATAGTCCCTCGACTTCCATCCCCAGTTTTTGAAAAAAGACAAGAGTGTTTGGACATATAACTTTTTTTGTTTGTCGAATATTTCGGTGAAGTCCACTTTTTAAAATCGTTGCTACGGGCCTGTTTTAAACCATAAATCATTCACATTTCTTTATAAATTGTTTGGTTTTTTTCATTAAAGAGAAAGTAGAACTCTTCTAATGTGTTGTAAAATCTTACGTACACCTAGACCAAAAACCGTAGCGCCTTTACAATAGTCATGACAGGACTTCACATCATGTGTCTCCAGTACTCTGCTGTTTTGGATTGGGCTTGAGACAATGAGGCCGACGTAGTGACAACCTGTAATAATATCGTGATATAATATTATGAACCATATATACAGTTTAAGCAATGTATTTCTCTATATCAGCAATGCATTTCTCTATTTAAGGAATGAATTTAATAGCTACCCATTTAATACGGTATAAACTGGGTTGGGGCAGTTTACGCTTTATAAACCGCAAAGCGGTTTATTAAAAAAGCGTAAACTGTTCCAACCCAGTTTATACCGTATAAAATGGGTAGATATTAAATTCATTGCTTATAATTTAATTTTCATTCATTTGGTATAAGAAAAAAAGATGATTGTTCTAACAAAATGACTTCAATTTGTAGAAAATTGGAATGTAACGTCAAGCGGATTGATACGTTTTTGACGAAAGTCATTGTGACGTAGGCAACCCATTTTATACGATATGAAGTAAATTTTTTATCCAATCAAATACAGCGTTACAACCAGAATTAAATTATATTGAGATCATTCCAAATAGTTCTTGCGTGTTCTATTAAAAGCTTTTGTTTGTTCTATTAATCTTAAAAGCTTTTAAATCAAACTTGACTGCAATTGTTTGAATGTGGAATAATTTATTCCTGTTGATGCTTTGTAAACTTTTGAATTTAAAGAATTGTATTTTTCCATGTTGTCATATATATAGCTTTATATTAAACAATCAATAATTAATCTTCAACTTGTGTATACTGTATTAGTTCTATGACTAGCTTTTTGTAGTGCAAGATATACCTACCAAGAATCTTTATCCATTTTGTATGTTCCACATAAGCTCCTATCCAAAATACCCCATCTGTGGCCGAGCGATTGGAGAGAACTATTGAATCATTTGAGACATTGAAGGAAGTTTGGGATCCAAGAGGGGCACACTGTGTTTTAGCAGACGACCATGGACTCGTTGATTGACTTAAACTTGCACGAATTTCTGTTTAAATAAATAAATAAATCTATTACTGTTGTATAAGTATGTTCTATTTTGGCATTAAATCTCAGACACACAGTTTATCAAAAATAACTTTGAAAGAACACTTGATATAATGTACATCTTTCATAGAATGTTTAAATTCAGCCCCTCTGATTACATGTACCTTTCAATGCATTTTTCCGACTGATTATCATTCCCTGATTTAAATATAAAATACATTTCATGAGTTATCAATTATTCCCTTCTCCCACTATTGCGAAAACAAGGGGATATGGAACGCCATCACTGCCTTATAGCATAAAACTATGCATTCATTATGTCAATCTATCATTACGTGATGTGAACATATCTTTACGTTATATCATTTTTTTATGGGGTAATGTAAAAATATCTTTACATCATGTCAATGCTGCATTACATGAAGTAAACACATTCTTCCATTATGTCGGCACTTTATAACTTGAAGACCAAAGTTCATTATGTGAAGTGAAAATATGTTTACATTGTGTTAAAACTTAATTACGTGAAATGAATATTTCTTTATATTATTTCATTTCTTTAATATGTGAGATCAAAATTGCATTACGTCAAGTTAATTTCGTTTTACATGTGTTCTATGATTAAATTTATCATTACATTTAGTCAAAGTCCATTCCCTTTTGTGAGTGTATATTTCTATTAAAGCAAAGCATTATTACGTGATGTTAATGTATCTTTATTTTACGCCGAGGTCATCACAATGTGAGGTGAATACATCTTACCTTTATGTCAGTTCTTTATTACGTGATGTAAAAAGGTTAATAACATAATATGAACATGTATTATGGAGAAGTCCCGGCGTTCCATATTATATCAACACTTTATTACGTTATGTCAAAACTCCATTCCTATATGTGGATATTTAATAAGAATATGTTAACTCTTTCTTACGTGATTTAAAACTATCTTTACATTGTGTTAATTCTTTATCATGTTGATTACAAATGTTCATTACGCGCTGTAAAATACATTTACATTATGTCAAAGTTGATAACCGTGTTTTCAGGACTGGGAAGGGGGGGGGGGGTCCTGATTAATTAGGACGAATTACGGACACATTATATGAGGAGGGGGGGGGTCTGACTTCCTCTTTTTTTCCGACATAACTTTATCATAGAAAATGTTCATTGAAATTCAGTCCCACTTTTTGCTGAAGTATAAGGGTAATGTATCGTCTCGTATCCTATTTTCGACCGTATTGTATTTTCGACCTATTTTTCCAAATCTGCTTCCCGTGCAGATACCGCGCGGTAGATCATTATTTTCGGTTGACACACTTGGAAAAATACCTTTGAAGCACAAATGTAGTGAAAATACCCAAAATAATATTAATTCAACAGAATTCCCCCGATGGTTTTAGTCCGTTGTCAGAAATTCTAGTCTTTTTACTAATGCACATTTTATATGTTGATTAATCAGAGCCGTAATCGGTTAATTACAAAGATTTTTTGATGACATTTTTCCGAAAGAAAATTAAGATCTCTGTCAAATAGGCGCATGAATATTGAAATGAATGGGTGGATCAAACGAATTTTTTTCTTCCTTAAATATGGGCACTTTCTTACAAATTTAAACTGAAAAATATAACGTAATTTCATTGATTTTTTGTGGAAATGCACAGCTACTGACAGGTGGGTTCAACCAACGAGTAAATGTATTTGCAACCAAAATTTGCAACTTGTTCAATGTTTTTTTTTGAAAGAAAGACAATCGTATTTTTATTGTTTGGAATATCCAATAGATACTTATAGCCAATACTGATTGGGCGTTGATACTATATTTAGGTCGAAAACACAAGACGCTAATATTTTTGTAAGGAAAATTGCACCCTCTCCATATTATGGCATATAAATGAAATAAACACAAAACTGCTATTTGGGTTATTTCATTTTATTTATAGACGCATATGCAAACATTTTAAGCCAATATTTCTTCAGATTCTATAAAGTTTGCAATAAATTAATAAATAACATCTTAATAGGTCAAAAATACAATACGCCAGGATAGTATATTTGGAATTTTTTTAAGGACTGATCGAAGTTGGACCCCCCCCCTCCTTTCACCCGAAATAGGATTTTCGAGTTTGGATTTTTTTTTTTCGCTTTTTCTTGTACGTTATTTTTTTCTGGCTGACAAACCTCCCCCAGCTTTCAAAAACAATGCAACGTCCACTGGAATTAGTAATTTTTCAACCATTCCAGGACCAGAATTCTGTTACAAAAATCTACGTTTTCACTTAAATCAATTGACCATGCCTTAGTTAACACGGGCTCATATCGGTTCTTGAAAAGAGTAGCTATAGAGGGACGGTATGGTGTCTAAGTTGGGGACCAGGGGGTGAAAGCCTGGAAGCTCTCAGGCTTTAGTGTTTTTTTTTTTTTTTATATAAAACGTTTCAACTTATTTCAGTTATACTTTATGTAAAACTAATGCAATGTCCTACAAAGTAAAATCAATTGATTAATTTCATGCATATTTTGGTCACTAAAGATGGGAGGGCGGGATCTTCCCTTTCCCCACCGACCCACCAGTGCACGTATGAAATACGATATGTATTTACTTTTATCCTTAGACGATTGCTTGTTAATGATATGCACAAGGGCATAATTGTCTGTGTAAAAGTAAATGCATTTGTTTTTAAAAATATGACTCCAAACTTTATTAGAGAGTAATATTACCCATAGAACCATATGTATTTTTTTTTTAAAAAAGGAGGGTTAAAGACTGATAAAAAGCTTAGGACAGTGTTTTGTAGTTAGATCAGAAGTTTCGGACTTTTCAAATCGTCAATAAAGATTCCATGGGAACATGATCCTGTTTTTAATTTAACCTGATATTTAATTAAGGATTAATTAAGTCTTGTGTATAATTTAATATTTGATACGTTTAATTTAAATTATTTGCATGTTTAACATATGTGCATGTAATATTGAAAACACAAAACGAACTTTTAGGCATAACCTAAACCTTACGTCACATAATAAAGAGTTGAAATATTCTAAGATATACTGACAAGAGGCTAAGCATTTTAGACACAATGTAAAGATACAATGGCATAACATAATAATGATTTGTCAAAAAGTAAGGGAAAATTGACATCATGTAATAGATTCCCGGCGTCATGTAGCATATTGATGACACAATATAGTAAAGAATTGGCCACATGTGACAATTTTTTTCACATCATGTATGAAATTCTGACATCGTGTTATAGCGACTTGATATTGAATTAAAGATAAATTCACATCATGTAATGAACTACTTAGACCAAATAGTAGAGAGTGCACATAATGTAATAATGAGTTTAAATTCTATAATAACATCTTTACACCACGTAAAATTGTTTTGACTTAATGTCATAAAGAGCTGATATAAGGCAATGGAAGATTGGCGCAATGTAATTGAAGTGCGAGTTAATGCAATAAAGACTTAACATAATGTAATGGAAAGTTGACATAACGCAATAGTAGTGTGACTAAATGTCATAAAGAGTTGACATAATGTAATGGAAAGTTGACATAATGCAATAGTAGTGTGTGTAAATGTCATAAAGAGTTGACATAATGTAATGGAAAGTTGACATAACGCAATGGTAGTGCGTGTAAATGTCATAAAGAGTTGACATAATGTAATGGAAAGTTGACATAACGCAATAGTAGTGTGTGTAAATGTCATAAAGAGTTGACATAATGTAATGGAAAGTTGACATAACGCAATAGTAGTGTGTGTAAATGTCATAAAGAGTTGACAAAATGTAATGGAAAGTTGACATAATTAACGCAATAGTACTGTAAGTAAATGTCACAAAGTGTTGACATAATGTAATGGAAAGTTGACACAATGCAATTGTAGTGTTCTGCTATAAGGCAGTGACGGCGTTCCATAAGGGGATGTTAAATTTCATTTGTGTTGTTCATCTCTCAGTCTGACACAAAAACACTGTCCTTGCACATAAGTTCTGAATGAAATTTGACAACATGTTAATGCTTACCTCTTCCATAGCAGCTGGTAACTAAAACCATAAACACCTCACCGAAAAATCTGAAAATCATTTCAGCATCTTATATTGATTCATTTGCTTCGTGTTAAATGACCCATAACCGTGACCCAGATCCTCTTGTGACATCATGCTTCCTTTTAGAAACGGATATTGTGTTGTACTGTTCCTTTATCTAAAATTACTGCGTATCCTTGATTAGATCATTTTAATCACTGATACACATTGTTAATAGCTTTAATCACCCGTTATGGAAAAAATTTCTTTTCCTTGAAATGGGAAAAATAATTATGTTTTCAAGGTTCATAAATATCCGACGCAAAACCCCATATAATTCATTTTAATTAAGAGAAACAATATAATGACATAAGAACTGTTCCTTTCTTCATCGATAACATAATAAACAGGACACGACACTAAGTAGAGTAAAGAAAAAAAACACAATTAAGCCATATATTCTTAAATTATAAACATTAATAAATATTATCGAAAGAACGACTGGAATACATTCTGAAATTAAACATCTAAATCTTTTCATGATAGGTAGTTGAATTTATTACTTGGGAAAGAACATGCCTTCTTAAAACATCTTTCAGGTACAATTTCCATACAATAAACGTCACATGCATAATCTTAATTCGTTTCACGTACCTTAATATTCATCATCAAAACCCAACTTCTCTGTCTTTGGAGCGTCGTTCAGTTCATGTGGGTAAAGTATGTACCTTAAATTCTTTTCATCATATCTGATCAATATGTTTAAAGTAGAAAGTAAACGATATTTTAGGGATTTAATAATTATATTATTATAAAGATATTTAACTATTTTTCTAATTTTAAGTTGGCGATCTTTCATATCAAATTGCTTAACAAAGGACACGTCTCTTCTCCAGCGTTCAATGGGCAGCAGAACGAACATAATTTTTAAACATCTCCCTCCCTTTACTAAAACAATCAATCCATTTAATGACAAAACTTCTGGCAAGTCTTTTGTCTTCATGAACCGTGTACAAATTATTATAAGCTTCTGCAAAGGAATTTCCAAGATATACATTTAACTTAACAGCGGTTTGTTTCTCGAATACGACTCGGTCAACCATTTTTTGCCATACATAATCTACATATTGACGTTATTTTCACATTGTGACGTCACAAACATGGGGCAAAACGTTCCATTACGTATGCTATTTAAAGAACATGTGTATGACTCTGTGTGCCAAATTTCATTCTGATCTGAATTGTGGTTTTTAAATATAGAGATAGTTCACGAACTTTTTGATCATCACTCGTATTTGAAATCAAAGAACAGGCAGAAATAAATTTAAACATTCAATGTTTCATAATTGTCTACTGTGAAATCACCATTCTGTCTGGTGGGCCAATTCGTGAAATTTTGTCGGGACCCTAAATCCATGAATTTATATCCAAACGAATATTTTTCATGTCACATATTCTCTACAAACAAGTTCACAAAGAAATATGAAATTTCTCTTACCGAAGAACATTGAACTCAACTAATTTAGTTGATTTCACAGTATTTGTACTAATGAGAAAAATATAACAATCTGTGTTTTTATTGAAGTCATAAAAATCGGAGTTGTTGTCTAAAAATTAACGTCTAACACCTTTTGTACGTACACAAGGTATTTTATGACGTAAATCAAATTGTTTTCAAGTATATTTCGCGTTTTCCTCCCAAAAAATCAAAACCTCTAATGAACACATTATCTCTTTGTATATAGATGTCGTGCAAATGAAAAGATCTAGTGGGTAGACTAAGGTAGCATACATGTAACAAAGATAAGTGAGTAAGAGTCATGTCAGCTTTATTAAAAGTTATAAACAGTAGGAGACATGGTCATACTGATAAAAACTGCAATCCCCTCCCCCGACAATGGGGGTATTTGAAAAAAAGGGAAAAAAAGCTTTAAAATGCCGATTAAACCAATGATTGTGAAATAAATAAACAGCAGTAAATAAATAATAATACGGGGGCATTTGAATACAAAAAGCAAATTAATTGATATAATTAATTTATAAGACAATAAATTGAAAATATTATTATTATATCAATTTCAAGTCAATTACATACCTAATTTGATTTGTTTTCACCACAACGACGTCGGAGACGTGTTTTGTTCTACCAATATGATTATTGTTATTCCTTGGAATATTCTTCGGAAGGAAATGGGGTTTTCAGCTCGAACACTCTTCTAATTTTGAGTTCATAGCATTTCGGCGGAAATTGCAATATTTGAGATAGGATGTGATATACGTTTTGTGAAATTAAAACGAGATAGGGGGGGAAATTTACAATGTATGTCACACAAAGCAAGTAATTGCTTCTAAACAAAATGGCTAAGCATACTATTAGTTTAAAAAATGTATTTTTGTAAGCAAATAATTTTAAAAATTGTACTTAATGATCATATATTGCCTCATATTTCTGATATTCAATCTTTTTTTGTGTATGCTATAAGAAAAATCTCGTTGTGCGTTGATAGTCTGTTAGCCATTACAATAAATCAGACATCTCTGTCGAGAAGGTAGCTCTGGTTTGTAATATTAATGAGAACGACGGAAAAAATTGATGGATTGTATCTTGATTAACGTCCCTCTATAGAATTTTTGACTCATTTGGATACGCCACCTTGCCGGTGGAGAGCTGCTTTTGTCCTTCACTTGGCACTTAGGGCTATTGAGCAGGGAGATATCTTTTTCATGCTAGCACCTACTGCGACATGGGACCTCGGTTTATACGGTCTCATCCAAAGGACCGGTCTCTACGTCCCACAGGGGGATTCCAACCCGCAACGTAAGGGTCAAATCTTTACTTCGTGACTCTCAGAGCTGACGCTCTAACCACTGCGCCTCGCGGGAGACCGAAGGAAAAGAAAAATAACGCCCTTATTGGCATCAGCAATAAAAAAGGAAAATGGCTATTTGTTTAGTGTATTTGTGTTGCAATTTGTAAAAAAAAAAGCAATCTAGTAGTAGCTTTTTGAAACAGTTTAACGAAAACTTTCATATTCAGTATTCATAGCAACGTCATTCATCAAAAGTCAATAAAACAAGCAAATTCAAAGAATTGTGGTCCATGTCTGTGAACTGGAGGTCAAATATATGAATGCCCCATTATGTGCCATTCAAAAATATTCACTACAATGAAAATCTGTGAACTAAAAAGAAAGAAATCAGAATATTAGGCATTCGCTAGGGTAAAAGGGTATTTTTACAGCTTACATTCTGCGAATGAAGATACGGGTGCGTATCATTACTGCTACATTTTCAAATTTTCATTACCGCTAAAAAAAAATTACATTACCCTACATAAAAAGTATACATTACCGCTACATAAAAAAGTATACATAACCGCTACATTGCCTCTATCGTTAACCAGCCACTTATGTGAGTACAGTACAACCTATACATGCATAAAACCCGTTTTCCCTTCTCACCACGGGTAGGTAAAAATAAGACTTTGAACAGGATGGTTTTTTTTATTAAAATCAATTTTGTTTCATAAAACACACACAAAAAAAATTAAAATCAAGCATTGTTCATAGTTAAAATTCTATAAATGACCGTTCAATGTGCTTCAGAATACGCATCAATCACAAAGCACTCTTCAACTTCTCGAGGTTCCAAAAACCTAGCCAAAGAAAACTTTCAACCACTGTTCAAATTCTGTTGATTAGAACTCATATACCGAACAATACCTGGCTAAATCGATATATGTAGCGGTAATGGGTTGTTTTTGGCTGATTCAGTATGTAGCGGTAATGAGTTGTTTTTTGCTGGAAAAATGTAGCGGTAATGATCGGTCGAAAATCTGAAAAAATGTAGCGGTAATGAGTTGAAATTTTTGGCAATGTAGGGTAATGTTGACTGTAATGAAATTATGTTTGGAAAATTGTCAAAGGGACGTTAACCAAACAAACCATTATCAATTTTATGTCTCGAAGTTGAAGTTGAATTTATAAATGTTAGTTAGAGCATGTTTTATGTACAAACATTTAATTTCTGAAAAGAGGAAAGTTAGTTGGTGAAACAAGGATGTTATGCTATTATTTTCACACTGAATTGTCAACGGATTTTTATTTCGTTTACCAAATCATGACAAGAACCATACGCCAGTTGAGAGCGGTCGACGTGCCATGGAACCTAACATGCCTAATACGACCTCTGATATTTTAGACGTCAGTGCTTCGTATACTTTTGATTTGTATTGTATAATTGGACTTTTAAGTATTATTACTTTTCGACATCTTTGTAATTCATGATAGCTTTGCCAAGCTTTTATAGACTGGCTTCTTTTTTTATCCTCAAGTTATTGAATAGGTTTCAGAATCACAATAACTTTAGCCTTGTAGAAAATTAAGTTGCGTATTAATTATATGTGTCCTTTTTATTGTATATAGAAATATACAGGATATTATCATTTCAATATACATATATTCATTAAAAACACTACTTCTAACACTCTTTCATAAACACTCCATAAGAAGAAAATCGTGGGCTTGAACAATTCCAAAGTTCACATTATAAGTAAATAAATAATTATTTGGAATCTTTTTTTATCAATTGCATGACGAGTACATGTATCTCTTCACGAACATTTCATATTATAACACTCTATAAATTCAATTAATTTTTTATATAAATCATTTTCTATTTATCACAATCTAACATTAATATTCCCTTCTGCACTTTTCTCATCAGAAATCTCCAAATAATCACGAACACTTTCCATGGTTTCATAATTATCATTATTTGCTGATTCTAGTCGGTCTCTTTTCATGTGATCGTACATAGAATCTGTCTTTTTCATACGCATTGGAACGACGTAGTCATTTGCGTCAAATTGAGTTATCTTTTGTGTAGTTGTTTTATATTTTCTAGAACTACCGCGATAAAACAAATTTAATGGAGGGGTAGATGTTGTAGATTTTAAGGCAGCATGTAAATGCTGATAAGTGTCTTTTACATTCTTAGTCGTCCTCATACTTGAGGCTCTCTTTTGTTTGTTAAGGTCAATTTCATACGCTTCGTCAAGAGTGTCTAGGTCTCCTTCGCGTTTGGAAAGAACACGTGATATTCTGGACGGTTCAAGGGAGGCTGCTCTTCCGCCCACCCATTTAGACAGAGGTATTCGATTGGCTACAGCACGTAATGTAGCCTCCACATCCCTGTTTGAACTGACCTCTGGCTTAGGTCTGCGTTCTAAAACATGATAAAAATGATCATTGTCTTGCTCCTCTCGCTCTTCATTTACTTCTATACTTGTTTTAGGAGTCTCTTTATTTTTTATTTCCTCAAGAATATAATACTCTCCTTCGGGAACCACATCTGGAATGCTATGGCGCGGGGTGGGTGGAGGTGTTGGAGGCGTATCCTCCGCATACATTTCTAAAATCCCTTTTATTATATTAGAATCAGACTGTCTCCGGACGGGAAGGTCAGCTAGTCTAGAACCGCTGGAAGTACTCGCCGAAGACAAAGTTGGATCTGGTACGCTCGGTAAACCTCTTTTTCCCTTTCGTTTTGTGCTTCTTCTTATTTTCTTTTCTGGTAGGGATATCGACTCATTCGAAAGCTGGATGTCAGGTTTGTTGGAGATCGTATCACAATTTGATACAATGCTGTAGATGCTCTCAATCTCTGTGTATAATCCGTCATTATCAAGCTTTTCTGTGGACGTGCTTTTTGTGGACAGGCGTTTTTTCCTTATTGTGCTATAGAGAAAATAGAGGTATAAAACATTATTTGTATTTTTCATGTACTAATATCTTAAAATGGTAAACTTAAGCGCGATTGGAGATTAGGCTTAATGTACATTTCTTTTCATTTTAGGGTTTTCCGCTCAGAATCGTTCTGATGACTAAATTAATATACAAACTTTGAGACCAACCATACCCTGAATATTTGCAAAAACACATTTTCTTTGATATCTTTGTACCTGTCAATAATTTGTTAAAATATATATACTAGTATATATAAAGTTTTGCAGAACTGTATGCTTTTTTATTTGATATGAAGGAAAATGGTCTGGGACCCCAAAATTTTTCTATAACTTTTTACATCAATTTTTGTTATGAAAACTGAAAAAAATGAAATGTCAATACATTGTAAAATTAGTTGTTGAATAAAATTCTTTAAAAAAATTAAAATCAGAAACCTTGTCAATATACAAGCTGTACAACCATTCAATATTTGCAAAAACGTCGCATTAAGGATGTGAAGTGCTGACCCCTAAAAATTTCTATCCTTCATAGCTCGAAAACGAAAAGAAATGTCTGAATAGTTGTTGAATAAAAAAAATTAATAATGTTATATAAAGCAAAAGAATTTAATCAAAGGCGAGAAAAAGACTTTTATTTATAACTATCTAATAATGTTATATAAGGCAAAAGAATTTAATCAAAGGAGAGAAGTCTTGATATCATTCAAAATCATATCTTATCGAAAAATCGGACGGAAAACCTACTCGTTGCTGGCAACGAGATCTCATCTAGTTCCGAATTATTATTCTTTTTGTTAGTTTTATTTGTATTTTATGAAGTCTCTTGTTTGTAGATGAAAATCAAAAGAATTTTATATTTGTCATTTGTAAATTTATCTTATTATATCCCGAAGAGCATATAAACCAAAGTTAATTTTTAAGATCAAATCGGTAATAAGAAACAACAGTTGTTTAAAATTTAGGAAAACAACAAAGAGATTTTTTATAAATGCCAGCTCAAGAGGAAAGATAATTACTTTTATTAAAAGGTTATTAGTATGAATTACTAACCAGACGATCCAACAAACTCCAGATATTATCAAAACAAGCAATGCACCAGCAAAAACAGTAATGATGATGAACAAGTTCAAGTCCATGTCGAAAAACGTGTCTCCTGACGTAAAACAAAAAGAAATTCAACAGGATGCTTAAAAATTATCAAGGTCGGATTTCCGACGATGACAAATTATTTAAATGAATTTTATTTGAAGAATAATAACGCCCTTTGAACTATAAATAAATCAAGGAAAGTTAAACAAATACATATGAATTATATGCTCATGAATAAATAAACTAAATATTTTTCTGTTTTATCTCAATTATTATAATTCTTTTTGTTTTTGTTTTTTAAAGAACAAATGTATTTTTTTATCTTTCAGGGTCGTTTACTTTGGATTTTTTTTTTTTTTTTTTTTTTTACAAAATGTACCAGTGTTGTCAATGATATTCCGGATTGTTGTAGAACCAATAGACGAAAAATTACGGGTTACAGTAGGCATGCTGGATGAAACTGTTGTTGAAGAACTAATAGAGGAAAAACTATGGGTTGTAGAAGACATACTGGGCATAGTAGTTGTTGTTGTGTCAAGTATCGATAAAGCAGTTGTTGTTTCAGTCGAACCTTGCACTTCACATAGCACTGGTAAACTCTCATTACAGAATCTATACATTAATGTGAGCTTTCCATTACTATTAACCCTGCCAGCGACACAATGGGCTTCGAGACCTCTGGGTAGTTCTGAAAGGATAAAGATAAAACAATGAACCTCTGGAGAGTTTATGACAATAAACAAAATTAAATTGGCCCTTTTTGCGAATTAAAGAAAAACATAGTACTTTAACAAATTGACCTACCTGCTCCGTACTCCATTTTATGTCTTCGCATGAATCCCACCCAGTACCGATCTCCTTCCTGGGGCTGACTTAAGTCCTGCAAACGGAACCGGAAAATTACAAATTCCAGCAGTCCAAACTGGTTTCCATAGCTGAGGTCCACCGCGTCTTGCCATGACGCCGCGGTCGATGAGGACAAACGAAAGCTATGGGACGCAGGAAAATCGAGTCCTGAATAAAAGATAAATTGTATTCTTTCAGGGCATGACATTTTAACTTAGTTGAATTTTTAACTTCTTTCAAAAAAAACTTAAAACTTAACTTTTCTTTCAAAGACAAAAGACAAAATAAGTTTGGGACAACAAAGCTTTTTTCATGTTTAAAAATTCATCATGCAATAGGACCAGTTCAGCTTTGCAATTTAGTCTTTGTTAATTCTGACCCATAAGAAGGTAGGATGGACCTAATTTATTTCTTTATGTAATATTAATATTTTTCTCAACCAATGGTCTAATATCAAAAGAATTAAAAATAGATAAATGTGTACTAAATCCCCAAGTTAATATCACTCATCTTTGATTAATAATTAATTTAGAAACTAAATACAAAAAATAGAAAACGCAATGATGATAATGAAAATTTATAGTTGATTTTAACCAGGACTTGCAAGGCGTGGAGACCGACCCTTCGGATGAAACCGTAGAGACTGCAGTAGGTTCTGGCACAAAAAACCTTTCCTGCTCAAATGTGGTGACTTCTAAGCATAGGTCTAAACGTGCACTCCTCCATCTGTTAGATGGTAGTCCCTCAATATGACTGAGAGATTCTTGAAAGGATGTTACACATACAAACAAACAATCGAAATTACAAATTTAACATTACTTGTTCTATAGGTGTAGCCCAGTCCCTGGGTGCTACAGGGTAGAACGAAAGGTGCCCGGAAACCATAATAACTGGTGCCACCTTCTGTAAAAATGCCTGTGTACAAAGAGGCAAGACATTCCTCTACGCCCCCAAAATCTTCAGTGTCTAGAACAAAAAAAGATGAATACAATTAAAACACAATTAAACGCTATGTTTAACTACGAATCACGTTTTGTGTCAAATCTTTTTATAGGTAAAATAGTAACCTTTTTATTAATTTTATAAAAAAAAAAATCAGAATGTTTATACATGTGCATGAAGTTAATTTTGCCTTTTTTATAAGAGCCAGGAAACTCACCTATCTTGTAGATCATTATGGATACTAAATCGTTTGTAGTCACATATTCACCACAGAAATCGTCTGGATTACCAGAACATCGTTGTGGGTAGCACCGTCCATTAGTTACTGATGGAATCGTGTCACCAGTTAAGCAATAACACATTATATTCTGAAGGTAAAAAAAAATATTTTGCTCAAGAAATGAACAAAAAGAAATTCAATTTTAAAAGTGTTTGATAATAATAAATGCAATTAATTTTATCATTATCATTGTGAATATTAAATCTAGCTTCAATGAGAATTTTGTGTAAAATTCTGTAATGCTGATCTTCAATTTTTTTGTGTGAAATTAATCTAAGTTAAGTTTACAATACATATGTATAGTAAATATCAAGATTACTTGTATCGAAATGTAAACGTACTATATTTTAGCTCCAAATCGTTCATAATTTATGGGTTAGAGTGCATCGTGCAGAGCCACTCATATAAACTTGCTCTTTAACTTTTGGGTTGATATTTTTTACTTAAATAATATTTTAGCATAAAAGTTATGTGAAAATTCCAATAATAATTATACTCTTTTCTCCCAATGAATTTTTTTTTCAAAAACATATACATGTATGTTATTGAGTAAAAAAAAAATTGAAAACTTTCTGGAGACTTTTACATTTTAAAATGCATGTATCATATACAAGTATTGGATAATGGAAATCTAAGAAGGCAAAAGCCTATTACTGATACATGTATTAAGCTTCAAATGAATAGATTACAATTTGGTTGAAAGTATTGTGTACTGCAAATTCAAATCAATGAATAATTAAAATTTAGACTCAGTGATCAAAATTTTGAATGCTCAGTTTATCTTGCAATTTTTGTCAATGCATATTAAATGATTGTGAACATTGTTCTTAAAAAAATTAATTAGTAAAAATATACCAGGGCCAAAATATTCAATAACTATTGATATGTAAACTTCAAGAATTTCCCTGTAAATACACATGTACTTTCAACACAAGAAACAGTCCCCAAGACTTCTATTCCTTTTGAATTCTGTAAGTTGCTTTAAATAAATCTGTCTCGTTTATTTTTTAAATCAATTTCAAAAAATAAAAAATTATTATTGATAATTTTTATATTAGAGGTATGCTGGCAAGTGACGTACGTTATGACCATCAACTTTGTAAAATCAAAATGATTTAATATTTTTGATATTGATAACTATAAACAAACATCATTCTTTACGTTTGTAAATAAAATAATCTAAAATTATAAATCTTGTAATGAAAGAATTCTAAAAGTTCATTTACGAGTGGTAGACATATTAAGATAAAATACTCACACTCAGAGCAAAGTACGTGAATCCACCACAAAATTCATAGCAATTATACACGTTAAACTGTGTCAAAGTGGTTGTCCGACTTACGAGGGGCAAAAGTGTCGATTCAGTAATTGTGAAACACCCTATAAATTTAAATCAAACACGTATATCCCTTTATAAAATCATACAATCAAAAATTCAATCTCATATATACCAAAACATATAAAAATTTTGTACCAATTTGTAAATAATTTTTTGTCGTTCATCAACTCTGCGTAAAAAATGTATGAAAACTCTTTGAAAATCTCTTAACAAGAAATAAAACTGAATGAAAATCTTATTTTATGTTTAATCTTACTAACCAATCATTTTTAACCATGATGAATACAACCCATAAGCACCAATCCACGCCAGTCTGTCTGTGAACTCAGATGAGACAGATACATTAATAGTGGACACATTCAGTGGATTCCTGGATCCCAATGGTGAGGCACAAAACTGCATTGCTGTCTCCCAGTCTCCATTCGACTGGCTGACATTTGCCTGAATAACTGAAAAATTGTATCAAAACGATTAAAATCTTAGATATTATACGTTTATGATGTGTCATTCGCTTTATGTATTGTGTTCCTTGATGTAAGAACCATAGAATAATAAGTATTATATCGAAGTTTACTGACAAAAATTATTGTTTATCGAATGTAGAAATTAAGATAAAAGAGGTTTAATTAAAACTTACCAGTGCCATGGCAAATCTTAATTTTGAAGAACAGAATCGTCGTCAATACACATAAAAGAAAACTCCATCCCATTATATAAATAAAAGGATTTCAATTTGACAAGGATATTAAATAACTAAAATCGACGTCAACCGGAAAGGAGCAATTCACTAACCATCGGAAGACAACAGTATGATTCTAGCACGAGGTCCGTATTGTCATTTGAAAGAAATGACCCCTGCATTGAAATACGTACAATGACTAGTTTACTAGTTTGATAGTTAACTTTGTCTAATTACAGTTCAAAAATACAACATATGGACTTTTGACAAAAATTTGGACGATATGAAAGATGGGGAATTGTATCTACATGGATCTATACATAATCTAAATATAAAAGTTTTTCTTTTCCTTTGCAAATGAAATAGTAACCTCCAAAAATTAGAGGTAGGATCCGATTCCATAGAGGAGAAAGCAACCCTTGTCGACCGTGTACTCCTTGTCATGATAGGACACAGGGCATAATTCGTAGACAATTCAACATTAACATCACTTTTAATTATCTGATTTTTTTTTTTGACAATTAAATCACAAAGAAAATTTTACCAGAAAGATTTATTGATTAAAAGGTTTTCTGTGCTACGGAATTTTATTTACATGGTTAGGATTGCAACATATTTTTAAAGACTCAAATTATATGATGAAAAGACTTCTATTTAGGTTCATCTACGCTAGCCAAGGGTTTTCGGTGCGCCACGCTCTCTATAATGGGGAGCGCTGCGGACCGAAATCCCTTGGCTAGCGAAGTTGATTCAGGTTTAGAAATACTAGTATTTAATAATAATTTATTTGAATAATCTAGTAGTAACTTATTCATATCTTTATTATTAAAATCATTCCTTTTTATCATCTCCATATGTTTTATTTTTACAATTTTAACAATTCAGATGTGTTTTCATCTTTTCTTTGATTTTTCAAGAGTATAAAAGATAAACACGTAAATCAAGTAGTTTCACTTCACTTCAATGAAACAACAAAGCAAGTTCTTATGTAATTTTCGCTCGCAATTCTAATTTAAAGACTCATACTCTTAGTCAGGAGTGCAACAAATATATATTAAAATTATTGCTGAAGAAATAATGAGTAGAATGTTTTTGTTGACCTCAGTTGCTCATATAACTTGTCCTGATAAGGAAAATATCCCATAACGTACATTTTATCTTCTTAATATATATTTTAATTATTTTTTACATATACAGGTATAAAAAAATAACACATGGTATACAGTCGTGTAAATACTTTCATATGTTCCGATTTTGAAGTATTGTGCTAAAAATATAGCACAATTTCATTACAACTTCATGCTTTTAACACTTAATGAATTTTCGTCCTATGGGCTCAATTTTCAATTCTACTGCAGTCAGAAGTACAACAAAACTGTCTTAAATTTCAATGTTCTTTATCTTTACTAAAAATTATTTCTTTAAAAAGTTTTACACTATCTGATGTTCAAATTGTTATGTCTATCAATAAAGTACAGACATTTTAAAGTCAATTCAGAGAATATATGTACTTTTCATCATCTTACATAGATTTTTAAAGGCATTGTACATAAATTTACACATGGCGAATAATAATTTTTTTAAGTCTTGAAAATATGAAAAACTTAACGTCAATCATTAATATTTCAAAACGATGTGCTTTTTTACAAAAATAAGAATATGATTTTTGTGGGTAATACTTTTTAAAACAATGTTGAAATATATAATTACCAGATTTCAGGAGTGCAAGACAATATTGTAAAATATTGTCACTATATCTAAAATACTTTTGGCTTAGATTTTTTTTTGATAAAAGAAATAGACTTGAATGAAGTCATCTTAAGGAAATTTTCTTGTTTAATTTTTTTTTCATTTGTAATAATTTTTTCCATTTTGAAGGATAAAAAAATATGAGTAATTTTATTCCAGAGAGTCTTTTAATAACAATGAAGGGATATTTTTTTTTTCAAAAGTTTTATTTCTAAAAATTCTTAACTTTTTTTCTCTAATGGTATATTATAAAGCCACTTCATGAATTTTAACTGGAATGCATATATTATATATTGATATAAGTGAAAGATATTTATGGATAGTTAAAAAAAAAAACATTATTAATTCAACCCTTAATGAAAGATTTCATTTGTTTGCAATACTTGTACCATTGTATCAACAATATAATATACAAAATGTTGACTTTAGATGTAACTGCTGATTGTTCATCAACGTATTTGTCAAGGGGTTCATAATAAACGAACTGACATACAAAATTTAAATGTTTCGGAAGAGAAATGCTATCTTTTTTCAATTTCTTTGTCAGGAAATAAATTATTTTTTATTGTCATTAGCTCACTTGAACCAAGACCTCGAGTGAACTTTTATGTAGAAAATGTCTAGAGCCCGTCTGTCCAGTGTCGTCTGTATATTCTTCACATTTTTAATTTCTTATTATGAAACAACTGGACCAATTTCAATGAAACTTGCAAAAAGACTTCCTTGTGTGAGGATATAAGTTTCTCACATGAGAAAAGATAACTAAGAATACATCTTAGGATTTTTTAAAAATCTTATTCTCAAGTACAGCGAAGTCATGATTAGTCATATTAAAACAGAAGCAGTCTCAGGTCGTAAAATTAGAATTTGATCAATTTCATGACCCCATGGAATAGTAATGGGATAATATTTTGCATTCAAAGATTTATGTATTGTGTAGGAGGAGGAAGCTGCTGATGAGGAAAAGCCATCGTGAGCAAGTTGAGTGTTGTACACTATGGGCCTATTGTTCTTATTATTATGACTAGTTGAAGGAGATAATTAGCAGCCCAGGCAGGTCAAGTAAAGAGTGACCATTGGAACACATTAAAGTTCAACATTGTGATACCTTATTTAAACTAAAGAATTTTACTACAACTACTAAATCTTTTGACATATCGTGCACTCTAAGTCATCATTTATAATAGAAGCCAGCTTTGCAGAATATATTCCGCATATTTACCGAGTATAAATCAAAATCTAACAGAAATAAAGTGGACAAAATGAATGTTGCACTTTACCAGCAGCAGAGATATGGAGGAAAGGATTTTCTTATCGTTATTAAAACAGTATCAACATTTAGAGTAAATGTTATACACATATATATTTGATTCTCTTCATGGTATGAGAAAGCTTTTATTTAACAGTATAAAACATTTGCTTTCAGAATCATCATGCTCCTACGTAATGAAATAATTAATCAAAAAAATATTAATTAAAATAAATACAAACAAACTAGAAAAAACAAAACAATAAAAGACGATAAAAGCCTTGATTTTTTTTTCTATGTACAGTGTACTGATTATTCATTTTTTGTTGCTAATCTTCCTTAATGTTATTATAAGCGATGTCTAATCTCTCTGTAATTGTCCTGAAAATTTAAACATAAATTTTAGGCTTCAGTGCCTTAAAACTTAGATGAGCTCACTTTTGATCCCAGTTTCACTTTTCAATTCTAAATTTCGTTTGTAAATGTGAGACATACACGTAGATCAAAAATGAGCTCATCTAGTCGTATGACCACACAGCTGTCTGGTTCAATGTCAACCGAATCTTCATGGACATAACATGTAATTATACCTGTGTGTCTATCTGTATATTGTCATACGTGTTCAATATAGTGCCCCTTTGATGACATCTTGGTAGCTTTAGTTATCATTTAAAAATAAATTAGGGCTTCATTCTTCAATCGCCATATTTAGCATAAAAATTTTTCGTAATACACAAATAATTGAATCCAATATTTAGTTATCTATGTTCACAGCGACATTTTAAATATTATCTTTGGAAGTTTTATAATTTGTGACATTTGGGTGCTGCATTTTTGTTTTCTTTGCCCTTCGTTTCGTTCATCATCAATGACTCTAGAGGGTCCACGGACACTGAAGCTGGGAACAAATTGCCTTGTTATTTCTGCAATATTTTCATCCTTTTAAAAATATCAGATTTCCTTTACTTTCTTTGCAGTTAAATGAATTGTAATCCCTGTCATTGTACATTCAGAACCTAATATAAACTTTGTCAATGTTCTTTTTCGTCCGCAGATACATGTGCAGCCGAGATCCTCGAAGATTCCTCGTTTTTAGTGTTTTCGTAACTTACCTTACTGAGACTGTCAGTATCTTGACTATCAGAATCTAGAACTGTTTCATTGCTGATATTTTGTGGTTCTTGAGATATAATTTCTAAATACTCCGGATTTTCCATCTGCTGGGATGTAACTGAGACCGTTGTTTCATCAGAGGATGGTAAAGTGTTAACATACTTTACTGAAGAGGTCTTTTCGGGCTCGTTGTTTTCAATGTCATCATAAATCTCTGAATATCGTGGTGTCTCCTCATCATTGGTAATTATTACTGAATAAATGTTATCTTCGTATATGGAATCTAAGGTATCTTCATAATGCGATGTTGCATTGTTTGCCTGTATTGGCCTCCTACGATTTGGAGTAGTACGTTTTATTGAAACATTGGATTGAGTTTGTCGACTTTGAAGAATTTTTCTGAAAGAAAATAAAGTTACAAAGTAAACTATTTCATTATAGCAACAATCAGTAGTTTGAAATGGAAATTTACTATTCCCACCTTATTAGTATGACGATAGCAATAAGGATCCCTACTCCTAGGACAGTGGCTAGTACAGAAATAGTGATGAGCAGACTTGTATCCTGTGTATCAGACGTTACAACTGCACGAAGGAAAACACGACATTGATTTTGTAAATACAATTTTATTTGCAATGAAATTAATAATTTATAAATCATTAAATAAACTTCAACTCTTATATACTTTTTTAATGATTTAGAGTTGAAAACGTATGCTTGATACAAAACAGTTACTTAATCAAATGTTCAAGAATTTCAGCATATAACATGTGTTTTGAATTCTCACAGAAAACGCAGATCATTACCTTGAATGCTGTTTGTGATAATAGATTGTATTGTGGACGTCATCGTAATCTTTGGCGTTGTAGTCGATGATGACATTGGACTAGTCGATGATGACGAAATTATTGGTTGTGACATACACCATACCGGAAGTGATGTCTGGCAGTCGTGATTACTGAGATGTAGTTTACCTGTGTTATCCACTGTGGCAGCAATGCAGTGAATATTTGCTTGTGTAGACAATATGTCTGCATTTTTTTAAATAAAAAAAAATTAGATCAAGTAAGTTTCTTATTTTTAAATAAAAGTTTAATTCAATTAACATCATTTTTGTGTTGTGTTTTCTGAATATCCTGTATAGATTGAAGTTTTGATATAAATATTTATATATAATTATATATTTCGCCGTCAGAGTTTGATTTTGGGGCAAATATTGGTCATTACTGAATAAAGTCCTTTATATAAATTATAAGGACGCACCTGTTTGTTTACTGATAGTGAAATTATAGTGTCTTCTAAAAATTCCGAGCCAGGCTTTTTCTAATGTGTTGAGAGCACTGTTGCTCTGTGCTGTGCAATCCAAGTCCGTTGATATTTGGTAACCGGTCTGTTGATAACACCTTGATACGGCATTTGTCCACGTTGTTCTTGGATCGTTGTAGAACATTCGAGAAGTAATATTTGTCCCCTCTTAAATACAAAGGTGGTAACAAATGGTTTATTTCAAAAGTTAATAGAAATAAAAATGAATCTTACATTAAAAAAATATTACTGAAATATATCTATGACGGTAAAAATGTTAATTAAGCTTTGTTGTAAAGTTGAACTTCAGTCACCTTCTATACAAATAACACCATGTGTTTTGGTGCAGTCTTCATCTGAGGGATTTTGGAAAGATCGTACAGTTGTACCTCCTGTGAGAACGTCCCCCGTATACTCTACCGTCATACATTCTTTAGAACCATTCGTAAGGAGAGTTTCATCTGAAATCAGATTGCATCAAGCCAATTCTGAAATATGAGACTATGCAAGACTGTACAAAAATACATCACCGTCAATCAAAAGTATGATTACATAGATTTAACAGATACATTGAACTGATATTGACATATCATACGGAGTCTTTTTTCTGCAAATGAAAATACGTTGAAAAGTGTGAAGCTGCCTTTTTATGAAATAACTTCAATTATTTGATGGTCATTTCATAACGTATGTTTTGTCTGTTAGTTGTTTAACACCCCCCCTCTCGTGAATTTTTCACTTATATTGAGACCCCAACACTTGCCGGAGGAGAGCTACAGATTTTTGACCTATACTCGGCACCCAGGGCCATTAAGCAGTAAGGAATCTCTAGGAAAACAGTCACTAGCGACAATTCTTTTCAGTGAAACTGACCAGTTTCGTAAAACATGACGTCTGTCGCAATTCCAAGTTGATAGTTGTTACCATTACGACCACAGAAATCTCTGACGTCACCTGGACAACGAGTGGGTTCACTCGATGCGGGAAATACTGGACTTCCTGATAGACAGAAACAATGGAATTCCTATAAAAACAAAAATATTTAACTTATACTGTTTTTGCTATTGATGAACATGAGTTTACACTTTGAGCTTACTATAGTAAAATTTGAATTTTGCAAATAAATGAACTATTTGCTATGAAACAGCTTACACTTAGCGCAAATGTGTGGACAGTCCCCACAGAATTTCGACATGCATTTGTGCAGAATGTGACACTGTTTTGTGAACCGCCATGAATAACTGTACTCGATACAGTCTCTATGTCGGAGGGATCAACAAGAGTACAACCTGCAAAATCATTTATTTTAAAATTTTTTAGAGTTTCGACAGTATTTATCTGTCTAAGTATGAACATGTATCCATCCAAATATAACGTTTATATAGCCTTATATAATCATTTCCATAGAAAATTTACGTAATCAAACAAACCAAATAAAAAGAAAAAAACAAGAGGCCCATGGGCCACATCGCTCGCCTGAGTATCCCCCTTGTAATACCGATTGTGCCCCATCACCCCTGTGGTCATGATTTAAATAATTTAAAATCAACACTATCCCAGGATCCTTTCAAAGTTTGAGCTTTTCTGGTCCATTGGTTCTTTAGAAGATTTTTAAAGATTTTTCCTTTATATTTCTATGTGAAACCTATTGTGCCCCATATCCGTCATGAAATAAAACATTTACAATCTACACTACCCCAGGATGCTTTCACAAAAGTATAAGCTTTCCTGGCCAAGTGGTTATTGAAAAGAATATTTTTCCTATATATTTCTACGAGAAACTTGGATTCCCATTTGTGGCCAAGCCCTACCCCCGGGGATCATGGTTTTAACAATTCAAAATTTACACTAGCTAATCCTGGATGCTTCCACATAACTTCCAGCTTACCTGGCCCAGTAGTTTTTGAGAAGAAGATTTTTAATGATTTTTCCTTCCTACGTATTTCAATGTAAAACTTGGATCCCATATTGTGGCCCCGCCCTACCCCCGGGGATCATGATTGAAACAATTTAGAATCATCTACACTACCCAAGGATGCTTTCACATAAGTTTCAGCCTTTCTGGCCCAGTGCTTCATGAGAAGAAAAATTTTAATGATTCACCCTATTTTTTGTCTTCTCTCGATTACTTGGTCGTTCATTTAAGAATTTAAACTCCCCTTTGCCCAAGGATGCTTTGTACCAAGTTTGGTTAAAATTGACCACGTGGTTCTTGAGAAGAAATTGAAAATGTGAAAAGTTTACAGGAGGACTTGAGCTAAAACAACAACAAAGAAATGAACACAAAGTTTCGAAGAGAAACATAAAAACACATAGAAACAAAAAAATGAAAGCAATTTGTAGCTAAAATTTCGTTGAAATGACGTTATATTTTGGTAAATATCGTTACTTTTTAGGCGGATCCAATGTGTATGGTAACGATACGCCCCAATCCAACCAAGCTGTCCTATAAAAGTTGCAGCAGTGGATGCTCGCGCCATGCTAAGGTTTCTCAGAATGTCACTGCTAAAAACATTACACTGACCGCTATCCTGGTTCATGGCCCCACTCCATGTATCTTGTACAGAACTTTGTGTTAAAGTGATCATGTTGCCTGTTTAAAAAATAGTATAAACTTTTTTTTATAATAAATATGTTAACGTGATAAATACATATCCTGAATTTTAATTAAAAAGTGAATATTATTACCATTACATAAATGATAATTGTGTACAAACCTTGAGATTCTGAGAAACATTCTTTGAAGTTAAAAATAAAGACACATATCAGTATTAATTTCGAAAACATTCTACTGCTATGGAGTACATGTAAATTAGTTAATTAAACTTTTAAATAGGATACAACAAGATGGAGAGCTGGTTATATCCTGTACTTTGTGTGAATATAAACAGAATTCCGCCATGATTTAGTACAATATATTTATGCTAGGTTTAATCTGGTCATTGACAAGATTTTTGGGAAACCATCTTATAATAATAAGATTTATTTTCGGATCTCCAAGCATTGTTGATTTTAAAATTGTCAAAAATAATAACATGGAATTCTTCTGAAAAGGGACAAAATGAAAAATAGTTGATTTTTTTTTTGTATTTAGCTCACCCGAATTAAAGGCTCAAGTAAGTTTTTTTTTCAATGTATCATCAGTTGTCCGTCAACAATCTAAAAATGGTCGCCCGCATGGCGCAAAGGTTTGTGCTCTGAAGTCGCGGAGTAAGGAGTCGCGGATTCGAATCTCACTGCAGGACGTGGAGACTGGTTCTTCGGATGATATATATACCTACATGTATAAACCGAGGTCCTGTGTCGCAGAAGGTGCTAGCAGAAAAAAGATTCCTTACTGGCTTTGCGTGCCGAGTATAGGTCAAAATTTCAGCCCTCCTCCTACAAGTGATGGTGTCATGATATGAGTAGAAAATTTTCTACATAGATTTTTTTTTCTGTCTGTCATTTTCCTTTTTCACAAGTTCGACTTCTTCTCTGAATCGAATGGATTAACCAAACTTTCTACTAAGCATTCATGGTACACAAAATAAGGTCAATGTTATTTAAAATAGATTGACAAAGAAAAAAGGATGGGTGTGTAAGCTACTCTCCTCAAGAGACTTTGGGCCAGAAAGGATGAACTTGCTTGAAAGCTTTAAATTTCAGTAAAAGGTTCATGTTTGTTTAAATCATGAGATTGTCCTTCTGGAGTCCAGACTAGTCCTCCTAGAATAGACTGAGTAGTACCAAAATGGGAGATTGAATATTTTAAATAGAAAATTAATAGTCAATTTCACAAGAACCACATGGTCATGATGTAAGCATACTCGGACGGCCTTGATTCAGATGTCTTCAAATCATTTACCCTGGAACAATGGTCGAGCCATGGCAAGGTACCAAAGTTTAACACGTGAATATGTTGCACACAAAATCTTCTTAAGAAATGTACTTGAAAAATTTCAATAACAAAATTTCAGAAAGATATCTCTTAAAATTTTCTTTGCAAGAACAACAAGTCAATGATAAATCAATATTAACTCCCAGGTAGAACTTGTTCAAGTTTGGTCTCTAGGAGGTAATGTTGGGCTACAGATGGGGAAAAGTTTTCTTGGGAAATATATAGAAAATTTAAAAAGAAATCTTTTTTTACTAAAAGCATGGCCACAGCAGTTAAGTTTTATAATATGTAAACATTCCTAAGTTGTATGTTAGAGAATTGGTCTATCCGCTTTGGAATTGGTTTAAACTCAAATATGGATACACAAAAGTAAAATAACTCTTTTTCCTCGATGTATAGAAAATTATATAAAAAAAGAGAAGTTATTTTGAATTTAATAACATTAACTTGCAAACGTTTTCAATCCTGTTTTATGTTTCTAAAATCAAACTTTGCTTTAGTTATATTACAGCATGTCAATTCAAAGAAAACCCGTCGAATTCTTAGAGTTACCGAACCTAGTCTTGTTGCTACAACGATAAGATTAAGAACGATGAAGAATTAATTCTTTCCGTAAAAACTTAAGAGCTTGTACAAAAATCATCAATCCGCCAACATATTTTTCTTTTGGTAAACCTACACAAACATACTTCATACTAAACTAAGACATAACTGTTTACTTGATTATGATCTATATAAATGCAATATTATCAACAGTCCTCTTTGTTCTTGTGGAAAGTATGAAGATGTTTATCATTATTTTTTTGCTTGTACAAAGTATGCAAATGCTAGAAACAATCTTTTTAACCACCTGTTCATGCTTGAAGAATTGGTTACAATTGACACTAACCTACTATTATGGGGTGATAGAGATTTGCCTGTATCAACCAATATTAAAATTTTTGCTGCTGTCCATAGATTTATTACTGAAACATGTAGATTTTAAATTGATTTGTAATTAACTTGCATCACTTGAAAATATTATAAATATCATATTTTAATGTATTATTTGCATGACATATTGTTATATTCATGGAGAGTAACTTGTAAGTTATATAACTTGTTTTCAATCCATTTGACTCGTTCAATAAAATATGTTCAAATCAAGAACGATGAAAATAATTTGTTTTTTCCAATTAGTTTTAAAATTTACATACACTGTATTTAAAAACAAAAACATTTGGAAATTGCAATATTCTTTCCCTATAAAAAAAATTAATAACAACACTTGGAGCCTTGTCACGCCAGTGGTTAGTATCTTCATACACTATCAATACACAAAGTACAAAACAAAGATGAATAATTGTTGTTTTGGCTCATATTAATCTAAAACAAATATTCCATTAATTTGTTTCAAAAAAAAAATATTGAACGTTAAGAATGGCTTTGCAATTTTCTCCTGTGGTTAAAAAGTGTAAGAGCCTTTCTCACGTAAAATATTGCGATTGGGGAAATTTCAAAAGTCATTCTTTAAGTTCAATAATTTTTTTTCAACAAATTAATAGGGTATTTGTTTTTAATTACTTTACAAAACAACTATGCATTTTATTGTTCTTTGTGTATTGAAAGTGTATGAAGATACTATTGTGTGTATTCCACACGGTTTAGGTGACAAGGTTTCATGTGTTGTTTTTTCATAAGGGAGTTAATGATGCAGATGTTCAATTGGTTTCATTCTAAAAACACTTAATGTAAGTTTTAACATGAATTGGAAAACTGGAAATATTTAAGTAGAAGAAAAGAGATTTTTTATCCTACTTTTAATTTCATCGTTGTAGCAACAAGACAAAGTTCGATAAATCTAAGAATATGACGGGTTTCCTTTGAAACCATGTGCTGTAATACAAATAAAGCAAATCTGATTTAACAAACATGAAAAGAGAGAAAAAGTTTTCAAGTAAGTGTTATTAACTTCATCTTTGCTATTTTATTTTCAATATCGAAGAAAAAGCAGATCCTGTTTTATTCGTGTGTCTCCATATTTGATTTAACCCAGTTTTCAAAGTGACTAGACATATTCTTTAACAGGTAAAACACACAACCTCAATGTTTGCATATTGTATAACTTATATACCGTGGCCATGTCTTTAGTTAAAAAGATTTCTATTAATTTCCCAAGGAGTCCATATCACCTCTTTTAGACCAACCTTGAATATGTTCTTCCTGAGAATGTTAATATGACGTATCATGGGCTTGTTGATCTTGCAATGACAATTTTTAGAGATTTCTTTTTCATATTGCAATTCTTCAATTGCACTTCATGAGAATATTTTTGGGCGAGGTTTTCACATGTCAAACTTTGCAAACCTGTCTGGGTCCGACCAGAGGCCATTTTTTCAATAATTTTAAATCCACGCTGCCCGAGCATGCTTACATTTGGATCCAATAGTTTTTGAGTTCAAAGCATGAACCATGAATGAAGGGTAGGGCAGGGCTGATGCACAACAAGTAGTCAAAGTTCTATATGGGAATATGCAGGTGTAGTAGTTAAGGCACATTTGCGTAAAGTGCATTGAAGGCCTCAAATAGTGGAACGATCTGACAAAACTTTGATGGACTAGCCAAAGAGTATAGAAGATAATTTTGGGAAATCCAGGTACATGTATTTAGAAGATATTTCATTGATCTGTTGATTGTTTTTATGTCCCTTTCGAGAATTTTTCACTCATATAGAGACGTCACAATATACCAGTGAAGGGCTTTAAATCTTGACGGTCAGGAGGTTAGATGCAGTAATTAACCATTAAATCAGCAAAAAAAATACGTTAAGAGAGGAGGGCCAAGTTTTAAGCACCTGTGTCAAGTATCCTATACACAAGGAAAATGATACTTTGACTCCCTGTTGTTGCCCGGCCCTGTCCTCCCCCGGGGTTCATGCTTTCAAGAAATCTGAATCGACAATAGCTAGGGATTCTTCTGCATTTATATGACAAATAAGCTGCTCTGGAGAAGATTTTTAAAAGATTGTTCCTGCTTTTTCCTATGATTTTAAACTAAAGCCAGGAAAGAAAGAGGAGAGGAGGGGGGTATAAGCTAAGAGCATATAACTATTCAGTCTTTTAAAATACCCTTGCAATAGAATATAGTGGTAACTAACAGTTGTCAGGCTCAAAATCCACTGAAAGCATATAAATCGGGAGCAGAATAAACGCGGACGACGTCTAAATACATCAGAGGAGGGATCCGGTGCCAACTTGGCAACTGAACATAGTAGATGTATTCACGCACAGTCGGCGCAATCACATAAGGGTCTATAGCATAGTTCATATCCTCGATAAAAACAACGATATTTTTTTTTTCCATTTAGATCTCTTTATTACAAAATAAATACAAATATGGCATACTACATTCTTTTTGTTGGATATATAAAAATTGATACAAATCGAATATGAAAATACAAGTACACGAAATTATTGTGGCAATTTTTAAAGTTTATATTTAAGATCAACAGTTAAACAGTTTCAGTTGATTCCATGAACAAAAATTGGAGAGATGCACTCTACACTTTTTTTTGTTAGTATCTTGTTCATTAGTTCTCATCTGGATTACGTAATCATAATTATGACATAAACTGCTGATTAAGATGCTGACTTAACCTTATCAGATGCATACGCTCACTGAATCTTGCATTAACAATTTTTGAAAGAATAAAAAATAATATGTATATTATAATGAAAAAAGATGATTTGCACTAAAATCATACGTAAAAATAGAATGAAATGTTTACCATTATCCATTTGGAGTATATTAAGAAATGTTCACCATTATCAATTTGGAGTACAATAAAACAAAGCAAAAATTCAAAAATTGCATACAAAAAGATCATACAAACAAACACACATCACACATTAAAAATACGATAAATCACCCTTTCAACACAAGAAACCATCCTTCTCAAAACGACCGGACGTGCTGAGAAGAAAAACTAGTATATATATACGTTCAATTTTGATTTTTGTTCTTTGAGTATTCTATAAGGAAGAATCAACCATACATATCAACAACAAGCATAAGATTTAACAGGCTAAGCTCAATTCCAGTATAACTGAAATAAGTTTTAATTTTGCACTCATTATTAGCTGCTAAGAGAATATCAAACTCCATTATATTCTGCATGATATGAATTTGTTTATGATTGGTTTTTGTGTCAAGAAAAATATCATAAAAAGACAAGAAACTTGCAATCTTGTTTGGCACAGGATTTGTATATCATAAAATATAAACAAATTCATTGCGTTTCTCTTTGTAGAAATTCATGTTCATTGTTTCTAAATTTGCACAATTCTTCAGCTTTCCTTGCACATTCTATAATCTGCAATTTGCAGATGGTCATCCTTCACATGGCCAAAAAACGTTCACTCACATATGAGAATTGCATCATGATGACTTTGCTACAAAGATAAGGAAACATTGAATGTTTACACTCAAAATCAAAAAATGAAAGCAAACATTTAACAATTTTGAATGATACAAAAATAATAATATGAAATGAGTATATGCAATAAGTGTTTTGGTTCTATTTTATATTTTCTTTCTATGGTTTCGTGTGAATGCCGTAGTCATTTGAGGCTGATTTTCTTACCTGTGCTACAGAGGTACGGGGGAGTGAGATCGACTTCCTAGGTAGTCTGTCCCCTCATCGTCCGACAGGTAATTATTCAAAAAATCAAAGGCAGCCGACACTTGTTTACCTATAAACGTAAGTAAATACTACTTGTCACTTATTCCATTTCTTTTGATAACCATTAGTTTTAAGCCAGTTAACGAAACAAAAATAAGCAAAAAAAGATGTTTAAAAATCGTTCGTAGTACAATCTAAAATACAGCAAATGCTTTAAAAAAGAACTTATCCTTGAAAAACTTTTTAAAAGAATTTTGTTACAGTTGTGTTTGTAAGTACACTGCAAAAGAATTTGAAGTAGATACTAGATGATTATCTAGTTCAAATTCTTTTGTATTTTGTCTGTTCATTTTTAAAATTGACCTATCTTGAAATATGCTTATAAAACCCACTGTTTAGATATGACAGAAAAAATGCCATTATTGTAAATATCCATGAAAAACAGAGTGGATCTTCTAAAAAAACTTCTCGCCCACACAATTCTTGTATATGAAAAAACCCTTCTTTCTCTATTGTTCGTACACAATAAAATCTAATAAAAAGAAGTTCACACTACACAACTATACCATCTTCCTGAATATATAAAATATTGTTGGATTTGCATAAAAATTAAGTGTGTACACAAACAGGTACATAACCCACTTTCCGGTAATGCGTGTATATTGTTTACTGTTACATGTAGAATTCCCCCTAAATTCTGGAGTTCCTCTTCCTCTTGAATCTTTAAGCATCGTTTTAGACGAAGTCAAGTGTACTTGCTAGCTATATTGAGAACGACTATAATTTATACATGTGCAAGCTACATCTTTTTGTGGCTATAGATGCAAAGGTTTGTCACTTTTTGCGTGCACATATTTGAAATGTTTACTAGCATCTTATGTTTATCAATCTTATGTAGTAAAGGTGCCTCATCCTCTTCATTTTAAACACGACTTGCATGTCCTGTTCTACACAGAAAACTAATATGGATAACTTTACTTTTTTTTACCAAACTTTGTTTAAAAAAAACCATCTGAGATAGATTTTCTTTCCCTCAAGAAACTCAGGGAGTAATAAATAAACAAAACGTTCTTTAGGTTCAATTCAGTTCCCCCTTCTTATTGATGGCCTCGTTTTCTCTTTTATGTCTTTTTTCACAAGGATGATTTGTAAATATACATATTTTTTCAAGAAATCAAAAGTGTAAAACTACTAAACTAAGTATCTTCTGCAGTCATCCTGATTAGGGGACTTATAAAGAGGATAAGTAAAAACCACAATCACTGTGTTCCGGAGTAATGTTGAGGGATTAACAAGGAAATCTAGGGTGAATTTGTTGACTACATAAACCCTCTCAACTGTTTCTTAAAACATTATTTACACCAAGATATGAAGAGGGCATCGATCCCCATTCATGATTACCCCCCCCCCCAAAAAAAAAAGTTTTCATCATGTGAAAAAATCTCGAGTGGACGTAAAACAACAATAAAGCTACAATTATAATAACTTCCGAGTCATCAGTGAAGTAGAGAGCATAATCTAACAAAACCATTGAAAATTAATGCAAACAAACTGTTTTTGACAGACTATAAAATAGGGATTTGTTCATTCATTCTCTACCATGAAGACTTACCGTCAGTATTGCTGTCCGATCTTTCTTTCCTACCCCTAGTGGGAGTCCGAGAAGACAGGGGACCTTCATCACTGAACACCGGGTTGTCGTGACCAGTCTTCTCATACATATCTGGAGTTACTTTCACACTGACAAATGTGCTTTCATTTAGTTTATTCCTCATGTTCCCTTGTCTCTCTCTAGAATTCTCCCTGTCCCTCTGTATATGTCCACTGTATTCATAACGTTTCACTTCAACGTCTTCGTCATCACTATCCTTCGGCAAGTTTAGCTTTAATTCCTCCTTGTTATTATTCCACTGAGTTGTTATGGGTTGACTGTCTACGGTGTCTTTTGATTTCTCTTGCATTGCTCTCAGTTTAGCACTGTCTGTCTGAGAGAGTTCTTGTTCGTTCACTTCCGGTTTTGTCTCCTTATCGTCTCTGACACCATTCATGTTCTCTTTCATCTCACGTTGTTTATGATCACGTGACTGCCTTTCGTGAATCTCTACGGAAGCTGTTCGAGGCACACGACCTTCCAGAGACCCTTTCTTCCTTCGGTCACTCTCTTCCCTTTTTTCCTTGTTGGAGGGACGATGCTCAAGATCGTAAGGAGAATCGTACTTCCGTTCACGTTTTTTACGTTTGGTTCCTGTCAAATCGCTGTGTGTTCTTTGTACCTTCTTCCCACGTTTCCGATCATCAAACATATCCCGGTAGGGATCGTAGATGTGATCAGAATCGTCCGGATATTCCACCAGAACTGCCCGAGAATCTGTAAGAAATCCACATCATGAAACTCACAATTTAAACAGTGCAAGCTACACGTGTCAGGAAGTGGACAATTGCATATTACCAAAACAGACATGCACCATTACGTAGATGCAAAACAATGTTTATATACTAGTGGTGACGCATTTCGCAAAAAAAAAATATATGATATGAATAATTCATTTTGCAATTGACTTCCTAAGTGCGATTAATCATGCAATTTACTGAACTTAGCTTACCACACAAATAAATTTACAATCTCTTCATTATAATTAGCGTACTATCGAATTAAGTATTTGCAACAACCACTTTTTTTAGATTAACGATTGTACGGAAATCGTGAACTCTGTGTTTTTGGCCTGCTGTAGTTTTCACATCCGTTAACAACCTCTTGACTATATGTCCCTGACTTATAATTATGATGTTTCATCTGCCTTTACTTGAATGAAAACTACATGTTCAGAGAGTCAAAAAGTGGAAATTGTTGACAAGTGGTCTGTTGTGTTAAACTTCCATTCAAATGAACTGACTTTCATACTTTTAGAATAAGTGTCTCTTGCATTTTCATTCTTTTTTTTTATATCAATACCAGTTATTTTGCATTTCTTGTTTTTTGAATCTGACATTAATTATGATTTCAAATATATGTATTATCTGTTATCAAACTATGAATTTTTTCTTCCAAAACCATTTGATCTCTATTTCTGAATACTAGTAGATGAAGTTTTGGAAGCCCTAAACACTCTTTAGGAAGAGTTTTTAGACAAAAGGGTGACTCGTTTTTTGATGTAAAATAGAAAACATGTAAATCAAAATCTATAGGAAATGGTACAATCTGAAATAGTTTGAAGTATTCTGAACATCTGATTTGACCAAGACAAAGTAAATCATAATTTGCGTGGATTTCTACGATGAAAATAAACAGCTGTTAATTTTTTTTTGCCACTTGTGCTTGATTGGTTTTAACAATCTACCTAGGTACCTAATGTTGAAAGTGAACTAGATAAATTCAATATATACAATTATTTGTGATATAATTTTTTCAGAGATTAATTTAACATTTTCATTAGTGTTCAGAGCTTCCTTTTTAAACACTCAATTAAAAAACAACAAAAACACGTTAGATTATGTTACATCAAACCAGAGCAAAAAAGTTAAATGAAAATGAAAAAAAAATACCAACACAGCATTAAACTTACAGAATGTCCTCAATGGAAGAAGATCTTTTTTAAAAAGTAAAATTATATTACTTCTTTAAATATTTTTTTCATATAAAAATTCTTACTTACTTCTCACATGATTTGTGTTTCTCAAAGTAATTTAAGTGTCTAAATGTATATAAAGATTAAAAGTGGAAACAAGTTTTTATATGACGTATAAGTGTTTAATTCAATAATGCTTACATAAAGGCTATTTATTGAATAAATGCTCGTTATTCCTCCTAACTATAAGCACACGAAATATGTTTGAATTGCTAGCTTGAAGTAAGATGGATATTATTATATAAATAAATTTTATTATTTATATATGTGTATACTAATTATTTATATATTTATGCTTTTATAAAAAAAAATGTAAGTCTTTCAAGTAACACACCTCGAACACCACCGTATCCACTGGATGGATAGCCAGCATAGGGTGATGGCGGATACAGCTCCATATAGCTGTTACTGCGAGGAAGACGGCCGTACGGTTCATAGGACGAGGTCACTTGTTGACTGTGATAAATCTGTGGATTTCCCTGATATACCATATAGGCTAAAAAAGTGGAATAAGAAAGACATAAAAGTTTTAATATTACTAGGTGTTTTTTTCTTAATCAATTGTCTATGTGAGATCATACAAGGAACTCAGATATTTTCCCATTTATAATAAATTAAGTCATTTCCAATGACAGCAAAATCAGAAAATTGTATTTCATCTAAAATATAACATGTATATTTAATCTAAAATCGTTATATGTAATACAAGTATGATGACATAACCTTACCAATAACAACCACAACTAACACAGGTGCAATTCATATCATATTCAACTCCAGTATATAATATTCATCTACCCGAGACACAAGAGGATGACTAAGATATAACTACCCACAAACATTTGTATAAATATATTGGGTGAGTAACAAGTGCAAATCATGCAAACACGTACGGTTTTAATTGTACATTTTTATGAACAACAATAAATTGCAAATTTGTCTATCTGAAAATTACAAGTCTAAAGATTATCTACTCGAATGTGATTTCAATTCACTTAAAATTTTGAATAAAGAAGCTTTATAATTATCATTATAAAAGATGTGAAAACTCTTATTATATTAAATCGTGATGTATGTGCAAAATGGCAAAGAAGGTTGTGAAGCATTAAAAAAATACTTAAACTAATCACAATCTTCTAACACTTTCTACAATAAAACTCGAAAAATGAAACAAAAACGATTAATTTTTTGCACATTAAATATGCATCATCTTTAAAAAGCGATTTCAAGATGGCGTTACTTGCTGTTGTGAAATTTGATAAGGGTATACACATATAAATAAAGTTTTCGATGCAAAAAAAATGCATCAATGTGTTCAAACAAAGCAGCTGAAACCAATGACTATAAATACATTTTCCATGCAGCTAGTCTGTTGAGTACATACGATGATAAAAATTGTAGCTGTCATAATACGGGTATCGTTGTAGCGAGCCACTTCGGATCTCTCGGTCTTTATAGTTGTGTCTGTACAGCTGTCGATTGTAACCTGTTTTGGTTTTCCATAAATAAGAATATAGTGTCCTCATTCTGCATATAATAAGTCGATTATCTCTGTGTGGTAGAAAAATATTCGACCTTCTTTCCAAGTCAAATATTTCTACATTTACATGAAGATCTCAATGAAATAAGCCCTAAAGGCGATTATATTTTGATACATTTTTAACTTTTGATTATTAGTGTAGGTGTCATATGCAGTATATTAAATGTGTTAGAAAAAATAATAAGCTTACAGTTAAGGACGTTACAAGACACTTGAACATGGCATATGAAAGACTTTTTGACAACGTGGTTTTTATGCATAAATACGAGAATATTTTGAAGGCATTCATCAATCTCTTTATTCATCGAAACACAAGAGCTCAAGAGAACTGTTCATACTAACGTCTATTATAAAAACAAAATAAAAAAAGCTAACGCTCCATTACTTTGTATGAATTCATAAATCAAGAAAATTGATCCAAAACGGAGAAAAAGGCAGTAAATAAATTCTTTTGAATAGAAAATTATCACATTCTATTCATCAACGACTTTTTAAATGGATTAAGTATTGTCAGTATGGTTATAATGTCAGATATATGTAGCGTGAGAAAATGTAATGCTTGCATAATACATTGACACGTACAATAAGGCGATTTCTTATTTAGCTTATATACCTAAAAGGTAATTAAATGTAATCAGAATCATGTATTTACATTTGAAAAAAGTTAAATATCACAAATCTATCACTTATTCCATTTTCAAAGTTCTAGTGAATTCGATATAACAATAATCATTCAAATTAAAACAACTTGTTCCAATTTTACAAGCTACATGTATTTTGATTTATGAATTACGTATGCAAATTCATGTAAACTATAAATGATGGATTTAGCTTTCGTTTGATTTATGCGGTTTTTTATTCATCTTTATTTTTGAATATTTATTACATATCATATTTTAAGATTATTGGTATTTATGAATTCTTTGTAATTTATGAGCATGAAAATTTACTGCCATTTATAATACAAGTATTTGAAATAATAAATATACTTAGTTTGCCTATCAACTTCTTTTATTTATTTATTTTGCACAAACTAAAAACTGCTTCTCGTTATTTGATACCTAAAAAGAAATATCCAAGGAGATTTCTCTGCATTAAGAGAGAAATCAGACTTATAAATAGGAAAATATTACTCTAGTTCTTGTGATTTGGAAGAAGGAATAAAAGTACACAGTGCACTTCCAATTATATTAAGGGAACACAGTATAGCGATAAAATCTTTTCTTCTCACGATGGACAATGTTGGTACCTAACACAGTGTCTTAAGTTGACCTGTTACGTTGGTAATGGGACATTGAATGATAGGTATCAGGGCGTGTGGGGTCAGTTGATGTCCGTAACAAGTTGTAAGGGTAATATAGCGTGACATACTTATGTCACAAAGGTAAGGAAAAACAGAAGAATAGTGAGAGAAAAAGTACAATCAGAAATTGTGTATTTTATAGTATTATAAATGGTAGACTACATTCAGCATTGTACTATTGCAAATCTATGCAAAGGTCGAAGGGAGCTGCTGAGGTATATTCCAGCATCAGATATACATATAAAATACATACTTGTAAGATTTACAATGTAGCTATATCATTTGTTAAAGTTTTTCTGTGAAGCATTTAAATAGAACAGCACTGTTAATCAAGAAATTAACTTCGGATTATGTAAGGACAGATGCGCACAGACAGTAGATATTAATTTTTTTTTAGATATTAAATTTCCCCATTTTATGACTTACGTGGTGACAGTCTGTCCTCCGATATGGCTCGCTGAACAGACGGTTGATGCCTTCTCTGGTTGTCGTTATAATACATCTGGGGCTTCCCTGGGGTGTACATGGAGGGTGCCCCCATCCACAGACCATTACTCCCCACCTTCGGTAGTCTGGGGTCAGGGGGAGGCTCCATCCGCGGGTCCATTCCGTTGCCATATTTACTGTTCCTGCTTAGGCTTGTGTCCTGACTAATGCTGTTCGGTAGTCGACGATGTTTTTCCTCGTGTTCTCTTCTTTTACTTAAATAAGAAAGAAAATATGTTTCGTTAAAAAAAAATATTTTTTTTTTTTTCATATATTTAAATTTTATAGGGAGAATCTTCTTTATGCAATGAGGGTGAGGATATCGATCTTCCCGATGAATTATGATTCTAGCATTAAACATTAAAATTACTCATAATATCTATTTCATAGTGGTGTTGGATAAATAAAGATTAACATCAACAAACGCTGTTAATTCAATATCTATTGTGTCATCTTTAAGGACTGTGGATTCTTGCTGATTTTATCATTCGTAAGGAGTTCAACAAGGGGCAACGCTATGGCTGTAATTATTCACAGTAATATGTAACAAATCAGGCGTTTGTGTTTGCCACAATCTTGTTCCTTTGGGCTACGACCATCTCGGCTGAACAAATTTGATTATCATCCATTTGAAAAACTAGAAGCCTTGCTTTTTAGCGATATTCATCTGAAACTTATACGTACATTGCTACAAATACGTTACCGGAGGGGAATTGTGTTTAAGTTGAGTGATACATGCATATACTAGAAAAAAATGTCATAACAAACTAGAAAAGTTTTCTGAGATTTTAATAGATTCATTATTTGCTTTTAAAGGTCTTTTTAGAATAGATACATATGATGGTTGCAGTTTTTATTGTCAAAATCTAATGCATGCATGCTTATCCATTTAGACTCCGTATTGCAAAGCTCTTTCGTCTTCTTTCTTTTCACTCCATCACTACTATACTTTATTACCATTTTAACAGCAACAGATTAAGCAATAGGAAGGCTGTCGCCATAAATTTGTCATGAGATTCTAAATGTACACTTAACATAATTAATGTTGTGTTATTCAAAAATGTGGAAAAGGTTATGAATAAGACAGTGTCTTGAACCTTAATATACGGCAGACTTAACATGTCACAGTAGATGTGTGTAGAGCATGTTGTTATACTTTTGAATAATTGGACAAGAAAATTACTAACCAGAAACCAGTTTATTCTCATCAATTACACATACATGTACTTGTAAACAAATATTTTTAGAATTAAAATTGCAATAGTTGTTCTTAAAAATTATTCCAGCGGTATCTCATTTAAAAAAATCACCGATAGAGAGAATTTATTATAAGGTCATAGTTTCTATTGACTATTCAGTAAGATTTGTGGTATTATAAGCCATGCAAGACTGACAAACCAGATAAAGACAATTGGGTTAAAGAATTCTAGATAGGGCCATTTTCATTCTTTTGTTCAGGACCAGGCTTACTAACGCACAAGAGTTTACTTTTCAAATTTTACATAAAGTGATATAATGTGAAGATTTTAAAATGCATTTTTAAACAGAAATCAATTAACCTCTAGATGCTTTATCGGCAGTCATTTAGAACTAATCCAATGAATACATTGAGCCATTTTTAGACATACGTCAGTAGTTTCCATTTTGAGGTGAGGTGTGGAACTATTTCTCAGCTAATTTGGAAATTATGTTTGATTAGAGCTGTATTGGTCATAGTTATCTTATTAACTACTGTTAGTATATAAAATTATTGATACTAATCTCATCTAATATTTATCCAATGAATTTCTATTATAGACAAAAATACTAAGTAATATGAAAAATTACATTATAAATCAAATGATACCGGTAACAATAGGGTGCATTGAACCTTAAACTTCAGAATGTCATAAAAATTAATAAAACTGCATGTTTCTTTTTCTCTCAATTTTGATTGCATTGTTAATTTTATAAACTTTGATTCCTTTCCTTAACTTCCCTTCAGATTTTAGCACATTCAAGAAAGCTTTCTTAACATGATGGTGTCTCTCGTAAATGTTTCCTGAATGAATTCATTACCTTGCAATGTTTTCAAAAATGTATTCAATGAAGCAAAATCAAGCAGAAAGAACAGAAAAACTGCGGAAACTTGAATGTCATAAAGTTTGGGTTTATAGGATGCCATTAAACAAAAATTCACAAGACATGTCGTAAATTTTGTATTTATTGCCATTCGATAAATTCAAAATTAAGAACTTGCAAACGGATAAAAGAAAAGCTTATATGGATAAAATATTCAAAATAAAGTTTTAATTAAAATAAGTAGTATTCCATTTTTAAAAAAAATGAATTAGTTAATAGGATTACAATATCATAGAAGAGTATTCGTACGAGTACAGCTCGTTGCATAGCTCGCGATTCAGGGATCCTGAGTCAACACGTTGCCTTTGGACCCAGGACCCCGGTCGGCATTGTGGCGAGGATGAACTCTTTGAAGCAATGCTTTGCTGTCATGTACTTACCCACAAGCACAGTAGATGATAACAGCCAAGACTATCAAAATCACAACTAGCCCTGCCAAAGACCCTCCCACTACGGCAATCAGTCCATTCGTGTCCATGGTTTACTATTATAAGTCTGTCTCTAGAAAAAGAAGAGAAAAGGTTCATTGAAGATAAATAATTGAATGATGTGACGAATTGTGGACATCGTGAACAAATGATCACAGTGTCAGATGCATACATGTATCTGAGAATACCGTGGTAACAGATGTGAGGATACTAAAAAAGAAAAGTTTTGTAACAAAAATCGATACAGTCATAATGAAGCGAAAATGGGAAGAAAATCATTCCTCCCAAAACAGCCGATCATCATTCAGGGAAAAAAATCCTCGGGTATTACACGTTATGTACCAAGATTATCACGCTTTTCACTGTATGTAATTGTTTTAACACTCAATTTATTAGTGTAAGAAATGCTTATGACTAAACATAAAACATCGTCATGGACTGCACGTAGCAGAACCAAACAAGCATGAAGAATGTTGGAATTTTATACCACACACCTTCAGTCTGTCTTTACTTTAACATTTGTAGGCCATTATGGTTACATTTTTTAATTTACAATTCATTGTTATTTTGACGAAAAACCTCGCTAGTGTATGATTGATGTTCTATCGGTTTTATAGGATGTTTTTGCACCTTTCCTATGAAGAGCATACCTGCAATTGATAAGAAATATGCAATTTCTGGCTAAAATCGCCACTCGGAATTTGTTGATAAATTGCTTGTTAGATTAACTTGACGTTCATGGTGTTATGCAGATTTTCTTTGAAACCTGTAAGGGCACTGTAGAAAAACAAAATGCAAATTGTTTCCGGAATAGGGTCGTTATCTTTGTCGCAAGACCGTAAAATTCTTAGAATCACCGTGAGGAAGAATTTGTTTATGTATTTCCATTTTTATATTAAACCTTTGTATCATATTTCTTTCGTTATAGCTTTATGTGCGTAGCCTTTTTTAATCTCTGCAACCGTTTTGGTTCCCTTTTATTTATTTGCAAACAAAAGCTCATATATTTTCTTTAACTAAAAAGCATCCGAAATGATAAATTAAGCCCTATATTGTTTATCGTGAGAAATTTATTACATGGATATATTGCTGAAGTTAAGGGTTTTGCAAATATGGATCCAGTCGACCCCAGTTTTCCATATTGATATTAAGTTTTATCAATACAAGTATAATCGAGATAATATATGGGTAATTCTATTGAACTTCGTAAGAGGTGTGAATTATAAAGCCCTTGGCGTAGGGCTGATTTCAGAAGAGTTCCTTTTCTCCTACAAATAAATTTCTCTTTGATAATATTGTGGCTCATTAAAACCATCAGACAAAAAAGATTCAAATACGGCCTTTACAATTTCTCTTTTTAAGTATTTCTTTCCATTATGAAACAAAATGGGAAATGCGTAATTGATTTTTTTTATTACTAATTTATGTTCGTTGAAAATTATATGTATATTTTCTTAATTGAAATTTTCGATCTTTTTCTCTTTTTTGAAATTTCAATTTCAAAAACTGTTTTGAAAATAAAATTGATAGATGAACCCAATATCGACATGTGAACTGTAAATAAGGAAAGTATATGAGAACTTATGAGGTTAGTTTTTATCTACCCGGGACGGGATGGGCAGTCTACCTGCTCTCCGGGTATTACATACATTTACGTAGAACACGAGTAAACGTAATCAAGGTGTTACACGTATGTTTATAAACGAATTAAGTGGCATATAGAAATAGAGGGACGCTCCTCGTACAAATATTTACATTATTGTTGGTTTAATTTACGACAACTTTGCTACTTTAATGAAAATAAACAAATAAGGAAGATAATGGAAGAGGGACTTTTGGAGAGGCCAACCGCTTAAAGATATAAATCTCACTCAACAGGAGGCCTGATAAAAACGCTCTGAAGTCAATGTGTTGTTAGCACATATATTTTTTGGCATTAATTTATATATGTGTTGTCCTTGCGTAAGCATAATAATCATCTTGTGAATAATTCATGGAAAGGTTTGCTGGTGATTGATAAAAATATATTGTACAGGTTACATACGTGAATGCATTTTTACTAAGAACTTACAAATAGATGAATGAATCTTTCTGAACCTTAAATAATATATACGTATACATTCAGATGTTTTATTTCCAAGGGATTTTCTTTCTTTTCAGAAAAAAGTACAAATATTTACATTTGCACTGAAAGGATATTGATTGTATTTTAATGACAGTCTATCAAAAGCTTGTTGGTCTTGACAAAAAGCGAATACAAAAACATATAATTGTTAAATTAAACACTATCGTTTTCAAGAGGGTTAAGGCTTAATCTTCAATGACCAAAGTCACTGAAGCGACTGGACTAGAAGGTGACCCGCCCGTCCTTTTTTTAATACAGAGGTGAAATGATAAGAAGAGCAAGGTTCAGATCCTTTGAATGTTCTTTAAAATGGATCCAAGAAAGATTAAGGGCATTGTAAAATAAATCAAACGCCTCCATGATACAAATAATTACGAACACCACAAAAGACTGCAAGACATACAATATACCAGTACATACAAGGCTTTCTCATACAGACAGTCGCCCTACACGGCCTATTGAATGACCCAACAAGAATTTCTTTTTTTGCATGACAATAGGCGTGCATTTTGGGACGAGATTTACAACCTTACAGTAATTAAATCCGCAATTAGAGTATTAATTAAATGTAATTAGAAGTTCTCATAGGCCCATTCAGAATTTTACCTTGACTTGTCTCAATATTAAAAATGTCAGTGAGACATGAAAAATTGCTTAAAATGTCATCTTCACTTGCAATGCCATTAACAGACTGATTAAGTAAGAGACATACATTTACAAAAACTGAAAACAGACCACTGGAGTCCCAAACCTATATTACCGTCGTACGGTTTATTGATATGATTTTATCGGTTCAACAGCAATAGCCGTAAAACCCACCCGAAAAAATCTTCCTCAATAAACCAATTACAAAAAATGTTAAATGAGAAAATTGACATGATCGAGGAAGTCTTTTTACATGAAATTACACAGAAATCGAAGGGGAAAAAAATGATGTTGCATGCAATTTACAAAAATAAGCAATCAAAGAAACACAACACAAAAAACTTACATGCTACGCCTATAAGAAACATCGCTCTTCGCTGAATCAAATATTCCTGTTGATGTATATCCCACACACAAAAAAATCGTGTATCTCTAATTTACTCCACCAGAATGACAGATTTACAAGGCAGGTAAATTTCACCTGAAGGGTCACCAAGTCAATTTCACCTACATCCCGAGCCAATAAATTTGCCTTGAAGTTTTTAGTTTCAATCTCGGACTCAACTGCTTAAGCGGACATGCAAAGGATCCTCCAACACCTCTTTAGAGAAGAGTAATTCACCTGGTAACCTCATTCAGAAACATTATCATAGTAAACTAGAATAAGCCATGCGTACCTGAGCAAATCGACGCTTCGCATCGCTGGTGGCTTAACGGGAAGATGGCGCGTTTGGTCGATTCTCTTTATATTTGGACTATATAGTCTAGTCTTTTATGGTGTTTGGGCGTTTATTACACTTTTGAGTATAGGCCATTTAATAAAACTTTTCATTAATCAAATCTGTCCTATTTGATTATTTTTACAATATTACATAATAAAAACATCACAGCAAGTTAACAATACAACGGGTCGATAACCTTTAATATGATAAAGAGCGCTATGTCATGAAATCTTTATTTATTTTTCATCAATATATTGTCCTATTGATGTCACCTTCATACATATTACAATGTAAAATAATCTTCATGAAAACAACATTTATTAGAAATATGACAGGAGAATTCTTAATTAATGTTTCCGATCCTTTAAATATAAAGAAACTAAGATTGATTAAATTTACAAAAAAATATTTATGTGTTCAATATAATGAATAAAAATTATCTTTATAGAGAAAATTTTCTTAACGCAATGTCAAGTAATTCAGTTGGGCTACACGTTAAAAGATTTTGAGAAGAGAGTACCCACACGTTATCATTGTGAAAGTTATTAATACAATAACAATATCAAAACGAATTTTACTGAAACGTCAATGGATCAGAATGCAATATATAGTACAAATAAAACACATTATACTAAAATATCATAAATAGGGATGTCAACGAGTACCCGGTTAACCGGGTACTCGATCGAACGTCCGAGTATCGAATACTAAAATCGGTACTCGGTTACTCGGATGTATATTTTTGAATGTTTCTAAACTCATTTATTAATGCATTAGATCATCGGTTTTAAAACGTAAAATGTTCGTTGCATTTGTACATACAGTACTTAGGGTTTTCTACACCTCTAAATGACCGTTATCGCCCGTGGCAGTGTTTATACAGTAATTATCATGACCAAGCACCTGTTACCTGGATTTTCTCAACTGTCTTCTACCCTTATTTGTTGTTTGCTTTAATGATTTGTTTTTACTGAACATCGTTTATGGTCTATTATGTTTAAATAAATTAGATAATAAATTTTGTCAATTCTCCAAGAAGCCGTAAATTCTCGGGAAAAGAGACAGATGATATTACACGTGCGAACGGATTGTTGATATGGTTATGTTTGATTTCATGCCAATTAATTCAAAATGGTTGAAGGCAAAGGGTTTAAAAAACTGATGTCCATTGTGGCATCAAACAACAACATACCGTCCCATAATACTATAAAATATAGGATCGGAAAAATGTACGAAGATAGTAAATCCGCTCTGTCATAGGAGAACTTGATCAAGTTGATACTGAAGCTCTGACGACTGATCACTTGGACGTCAAACGCAACCAACGAGTTACATTACAATTACGGAGCAGATCTATATTTAAAAAAAACACTGAACCATTTATGATTTTATTCCTTGTTTTTACCAGATAAATAAATTAAACTTTAAAAAAATGTTATATTAATTTCGTCGGGCATGAAGTGCTCATAATTGTTAATCAGATTTACGGGTTTCGGAGAATGCGGTTTATTTCTACAAGAGTTTACAATGTTTTACAGTTTTCAATGTTACCTGTTCATATTTATGAACACTTTTACCGAG